CATTCATCCCCGTCACCTGAACCCTCTTTATATTTTCTCTCTTTCTCTCCAACATTAGTTACCTATCGCACCCTGGAGATTATAAGTAAAAAAGAAAAAAAACTTACAAATACTGATGTTAAACTTGTGAAAACTTTTCTCCAAAATCATTCCATGGATCTAACTAATCTTCCAAAGCAACCTTTGAGATCTCAATCAAACTCACTAAATGAAATAATCCCCTTGTCTTACGTCATCGTAAACTAAATTTAAATGATAATTTTATTGTTATGCAGCTTTCTATCGATGTTTGTTCCCCTTTTCCTATTTTTTGTCTCGCTGTCTCTGTCTCTTTTTGCTCACAGCCGACTTGTTTTTCGTTAGCTCGTCGTCCCGTGAAATCTGTCACACTCCAGGCTGCCAGGCGTGACTGGCTCATCTACCGGGTGACATCTTAACTTTAATAAAAAGCTCAGGATTATCTCATAAACCAACACCATCAGTTTAGTCTCATTATCGTCCTCGTCATGTCCCAAAGTCTTGTATTCAAACAATTTAAGCATCATGCAAACAGCCTACACTAGTGGTGGTTGTTTAGTCCAACATCTTCTGGCTGTTAGATTCTCACCCGGTAGCTTTTGGTCATGCACGGAGAGAATGAGTGTGAATAAGGAAAACTAACACGCATATAGGTCATAATATGTGTGAGAATCGCACGATACAACCCTGTGTATATGCTGATATTAGTATATTGCAAACACCGAGAGAGTGAGAAAGTGAGTGAGTTGGTGAGGGAGTGAGGAGGACGGAGAGAAAAGCAATGAGAGAGTGAGAACATCAGGGCTGAGTTGCAGGGTTTATATACCTAGTCTATCGATCACGACTATAGGCTCGTCCGCAACTAGTATAGTCGAGAAAGAGAGGGTAAAAGGAGAAACAGAGAAAGGAGTTTGCTTCTCTCACTCTGTTTATCCATTCACCACCCTCTCGACCTCTCCGTCTTTTATTTAAACGTCGTAACTGTTACAGTTACCATAAGCATTTACTTTGGCACGTGCAAACTTTTGAATTTCTTATAACTCGATCATTTTTCCGGTTTGAAAAAGGAATTCATACATGCTACTGGTTATATTTTTTGATATATTAGCTACGATACAGGATACATTCAACCGGAAAATGGATTTTATAGTTATTTCTCTCTTTTTTTTCTTCTTTTCCTAGGATTCTATACTTTTGTTATGGTGATGGAAATTTGATGCTTGAAATACTTGTGAATGAAAGAATATAAGCTTTCAATTGAATTTTAAACTTGACCGTATATAGTATTATTGTGTCGATAAAGTATTACACATTCAAAAGATGATAAATAATTAATTACTAGAATTTCATTCAAATCTAATTAGAGTAATTCTATCATTCATCATAATTGATAACACAATAGAGGATGATTTATCATTAATTTCAATTTTTGAAAATTAAGTGAAAATTTATGTTCATTAATTTTTATAACTAATTAACTATCATCAATGATCGTATCATCTTTACTTGGATAGCTATTTAAAGCTGGTCCCTATTCTAGAGTTCTGAATATGATCCTTATTGGAAAGTCAATTCAGGCTTGAAGAAAAAAATAAGACCAGGACTATTTAGTAATTATCTTATGTGTTTTATGATGGTAATAAAATAGTTCTGAATTGTTATCAAATATTTTAGTAACATTACAGTATACTGTGGGAAAACCTGATCAGATTCATATGTGGTCATATTTCATTGTTACTTGAGTAGATGCTTACAATTAATATTTGAAAAAAACCCTCATTAATGAATGATATAATTAGATATGAAATAAAAATAAATTAAAAGTAAATTTATAGAGAGAAAAGTTTTAGAGTGTAATTTAAATATTCTTGATACGGATAATCTCAAAATTAACAAGCCATAGAGTAAGAGAATAATTTAACGAATTAAAAAAAAAAAATTATATTAAACTGTCAATGAGTAGAAAGTAATAAAAAACAGGGGGGATACTAATTAATCAATGGATCCGTTGATAGGAACTTTTAAATTTAATTTTAAATTATTTAAATGAAGTTCGTAAGAAAGTAACGGGTAATTGAATAATTATTCAATTAAATTTAACAAAATTAAAAAAAAAGAAAAAAAGGGAATTAATTAAAGAGACTCGTGAAAAATGGTAACTAAAAATGTGAAAAGTGGACAAGTTAGATTGACTTTTGTAATTGAAATAATAATAACAATAACAATTTATGTATAATTCAGTGAACAAATTGTTGATTAACAAAAAAAAAGAGGATGGAAAAAAGTTATTATGTCGATGATAAATGAAACTGAAGTGATATTGGTTATTAAACCATAACTATGAGGTCACACAAAACACTTTCCCCAATTGAATTTAAAATATATATCAACTAGATACAGAATGAATTGTGTGTAATATCCTCCAGAGGATCTAGTGGATCTCGAGCAAAGTAACAGTGGCAACAGCAGCCTCGCGGCAGTTTCAAATGACTCCAAAGTTGGAGTATTCGTGGGTATAGCGAATGCCTTATCGCACCACGAATGAAAGTCGGTGGTAGAGATAATTGCCGTTCCCTAGAGAGACTAACATAGATGCTAGAGTTAAGCTGTAAGAAGGAAAGAGAGAAGGAGATGTATGCCGGACGATAACGTGCGTGCAGACCAGGTCGATGAACGTATATACACTTATTTTAATGTGCAAATAGAAACGTGTGTTAGTTTGAAAGAATAAACGAGGCCCTTTTCTCCACTCGATCTTCATCTTTAACTGATTGTATATATTTATATTTATGTTGTTGAAATATAACAGTTTCAGTTTAGCTGGTTAAACTTTGTTTTACTTTTTTTAAGTTGACTTATAATTATTTCATTCATGAAGTAACTTTAATTCACATTAAAAAATAAATATTTTTATTTACCATTACTAAGCCTCAATTTATATTTATTATTATTTATTTATGATCAATAAGTGTCGAAAAGAATTTATCTTGAAAAGTAAAAATATTCATGAGCTTATGAATAAAATATTATAGATTATATAATAAATTTCTCTGGTAAAGTCATAGCAGCATGAAAAATATATTCTAGTAAACATCTTAATTAAAAAAATCCTATTTCAATTACATACAACATTTCTCTATTTTATTTTATTTTTTTTTTAAAAAAGTTGTTTATAACACAGTCGTATTTTAAAAGTAAATTACGCTGACTTGACAAAATTTCTAATTTTTTAACATTTTCACCATCATAAATTTTCAGATACCATAAAATGGTAGTAAAGAAATTAACTCCTGATTTCACTCGTAAAATACATCATTATTAACATTTAAACTAAGTAAATATTGAATGCAAAATTAATTTTTTTTTAAATACGGACGTTGTAATAAAACTAGAATATATGAAAATAAACGAGATATATTTAAATGTCTTTTAAATGAGTAATATTATGGCTGGTTTCTTCATTATATGGATTGGAGCTATGAAAGGGTCAATAAATGGTACGTGTAGAGATCCCCTTTAAAATTAATTGAAAATTATTATATCATAATTAAATTAATATTAATTTATGCATTCAATTTCTACTGAGCAATCAAACGTCTTTCTTTCAATTAAATTGAATAATTAACAATAATTTTAAATTCTAGTAAATACAGGAAATTTTCGTTTTCAATTCAATACTAATATTCGCTGTTTAAAAACTTGAAAAATTATTTTTTTTCAGTTAAATCTAGAAATAAGTTCAATTTTCATCGTTATTTTTAGATTCGCAATACAATCATGGTTGAATTTTCAATTTTTCGGTTCAACAATACTAAAAAAACAGTCTTTCTTTTTTATTTCGAAATCCTTGAAACGTGATAAATCCACACTGAATATCCACTGATTTGCAGTTATAAGTATGCCACTGATTGAAACATTGTTAGCAGTATTTTACGTTTTCTCTGGTGACTCTCCTCCTGCGTCATCTGTCAATGTTTGTGAATTGTTTCTAACGGATTTTTAACTTTCTTCTGTAAGTGCATTTCACAATGTACAGAAATAAAAAAAAAACCATGACAGTTTAAATTTCGATTGAAGTTAATATGATTTTTATTATAATAAATTATTCTTTTAGTGTAATAGTTATAATTGCGATTAATGTGATCGAAGCAGTCGTAACATTAATTTGTCATTTTTTTTTTAATTGTTATGCATTCGATTCTTTGATGTTCAATTATTGACTTTAATATAAACAAAATAAGACTCGTAAAGGGAACTAGAGTCTTAATAAAAAAAAGGTTATTGTAATAAATAAAATAATAGCAAGATAACATTTTAGCAGGATAAAAATTACTAATAAATTATAATTAAATTATTATTTCAATTTATTTATTATAATTATAATGAATGTTTATATTTTAAATATATAAAAAAAGCAAAAAAAAGCTTTAGGAAATTTTCCAAATCAATTTTACTTTCACTAAAGAAAGATAGATGTATGCACATGATCCTTCTCCAGCATTGGTTTAATTCCAGGTCTGATGCATTTCATTTAATCGTCCACATCTAAGTAGACATTGAAATCGTATCATTTTTTGCATTAACACCTCCTTACAATAATATTGGCAACATAAAAAGTAAATATACCTATATGTTCACATAACACTTTAAGGAGAGAATACTTATCGGTATGCAGGCCAGTAGGTCGCTATCAAAAGACAACAAGGTAAGTCACATGCGATCTTAACTTGATGAGAGAAACATCCGTTGTTTCTTCTCTGTCTTCATCATCTTCTTCGTCTCTTCCTCTGGCTGTCTTTCTTTATTGTATTATGTTATCATGTTCTCAAGCTCTTTCTTCGCCTCCGGGCTTACCATCCACGAGAGCGGACGACTTCCATTTGCCACAATGAGGTCTCGTACATACTTTCTCATCACTACACTTGCTCAAGGTACATCTTCAGTCGAGAATTGATATCTCGCCAGTGAGGTTCAATGTCGATTTTCATTTCAATCTATTTTTAATTCATTTTACCGATGAATCAGTTTGAATTACTTTGATATATTGATCGAAATTTTGTGATATAACGATGAGTAAGCGTACTACAAGTTCATTTATCAATTCCTGTGAGAGAATTAGACCCGAAAGATCACGAAATCCGTGTATTAGAAGACTGGTGTGGTCAGAAAACGGATATAATACTCGATATCCCGGCTATGATGCCAATTTTATTGAGGATGTGGAAGTGATGAATCCTAGAACTGCTTTAAGAAGGTATGAATCCTGGGAAATAGTTTTTTTTCCTCTTCTGCATCAAGTTTATTACTTTCTATTATTATGGTAATTCAAATAAATGAATACAATTTTTAATTTTCATATTTTATTTTTTCATAACAATCATTAATATTCATTAAAAAATCGGTTTAAATTATTAATTGAAAAAATGGAACATGAAAAAATTTATAACAAATAGGATAATAATTGAAAATAAAATACTGACAATATGTAATAACAATTAGTAGAAAAATTTTTAGAACAAAGTTACTTTGTGAAATTTATTATTTTTTTATTAATTTTGAAAAAACAAGCTCTAATATTTTTATTTGCATTCTGATATATACACTGATAAAAGTATTATTTACGCAAAGAGATAGAAATTTTTTTATAAACAAAAGAATATTTATTTCAAGATAAAACTCTGGAGAGGAGTAACAACAATCGTAATAACAAAACTAATTGTTATTACAGTGTTGAAGAATGTAGATAACATGAGAATTTTTAAATAAATATAATATAATGTCTAGTGTGAAATAATAGAGATGAAGGAAACGACCAATTAATTTGTCATTTAATGGATAGGGCTCAATAGCATTTAGTAATCTTGCATTATAAATTGTCGATACACGGTTTTACATGCTCATTGCCTATGCAAATTGTTCCGAGGATGACGTCTGGCTTGTATAACACGGATTAATCTGAAACAGGAAAACATGGGACAAGTTTGTGTAAATATGCTAAGCACGCATCCTGCAGACGAAATCTCATGGTTGCACATTTATAACTTTGCCATCTCTGCTTTTGCTTCATTTACAAATTGCTACAAATTTTCATGTTTTACTTTATTTTCTTGCTTTATTTCCATTCCTCCTATCTCATGTTTTACTTCTCTATGAATTTGTTTTTTGAAAATTCATTACTCTTTTCAGTGATTAATTTCATAAATGAAAATAAAAGGAAGATATTCATATCTTCTATGACATTTTTTGTTTAACATGAATCATTTTTTATTTTGATTAAATTGAATTAAAAATTTTATTAATTAGTATTTTTATTACGATCGAATACTTCTCGTCCAATTTCAAATATTCATTTTGATAAAATTAAAATGAATTATTCCGTTCATTTTTGATGATTAGATTATTTCGTTTTCCATATTTATTTTAATGAAATTAAAAAGTGAAGTTTATGTCTTGTTGTATAAAAATCAAACATTCATAAAGTTTACTACCTGCATGGTGCTCTGTAGAGGATTAAAAAATAAAAAGTTGAATCTTTTATTTTACAGAATCTAAGTTTAGAAAAAGTTTTAGAAAAATTGCAGCAGATTGTTACTCTTCACAAGCACTAATGATACATTTAATCCTTACAAAAGTTTATTAAAAAAATTTTTAACTCGAAAATTAAGTTAGACATTTGCAGGGAACATTTCAACTTTTCTATTAATTCTTATTTGCTATATTTTATGAGCGAAAAAAAAATCAGTTTTAAAATAAAACGATCTTGATTTTTTTTAAAACAAGTTTCCACGAGTTATGCTTATTAAAAAAAATATATATTAAGAGATCGTTTTTTTTTTATAATTTTTTGTCTCTTGTAAAATAATATTAAACTAAAAATTTTTTAATTAACAATTTATAGAGTGGTAAAAAATCATGTATAAAAATTTTTGGATTTTTATTTTTCAGTTATAGAAAAAAAAATAATTGAAAGCTTTTGAAGCACTGTAAAAATGATATTTTCAATTCTTTAAGAGCATTCATAATGATACACGTATAAGTTAAGTGATAAAAGCTCAGTAACTTTTATAAGATCCACTGGACGACGTTATAAATTCTCATATCACTAATCTTGTCAAACTTTGAACGGTAATTTTTGCTTAAAATATTTTTTTCCGGCATTACTTATGTTTATGTAGTTTATAAAGAATAAAATGCATCAGAGAGAGAGCAAATATTTAATAAGTATTTGACTTTTTTGAAACTTTTCTAAAGTTAAATTAAAAATTTTTATGCAAATATTTATCATATCATACTTAAAACTATTATAAAGTCATATAGAAATTTTTTTTATTCAGCATTTCTTAATAAATAATAACATATTAAAAATATTCCAACATAACAATCAATACATAATATTGAAAATTTACTCAAATCCAATAGATGTATTTAAATAGGTTGATGATTTAAAATATTTACTTTATCTATGAATTATTCTTTGAATTTTTATTTATTATCGAATAAAATTATAAATAAAAAGCAAATATTGAGCTTAATAATTCACTATTTTATGCATGAAGAGAATTCAATCACTTTGACAAAATTTCTAGTAAACAGAAGCTGAAGAAAAAAAACTTATATAAATAAAAAAAAACTAACTTAGCGTTAAGATGATTTTTTATTCTTTTTTTTTTTAAATGAAAATCATGTGAAAATGATTTAAAAATATTAATTAATTTTTTAAAATCCAATTAAGAAATAAAGTACCAGCTTGATGAAAATTTGCACTCAATTTATTAATAATCATCTTCATATTAATGTAAATAAAAATTGCCCTGAAGTTTCTTAACCTTTAAGCCGAAGCTCAATATCATAAGTACGATGAATAATTAATTGCGGGATGAATTTACAGATTATTGAGGTTATACGAAGGCAGACAGTATCGAGAGGCAGCAAGTTTCGTTTCAAAATTACCCCGTTGCACTTTAGGAGCAACCTTACCCGACATTCCAGTTGACCTAGTGATCGAAACTCTTCCTCGAAGTCTGGCATTGTTAGAATCCTTATACAGCAGACTACCGGAACTGGATAATGTCAAGCCCGAGGAATTAGCAAGACTTCTGAGGGTAGAGCAACTGCTCTGGAAAGTCGTTCATTTAATTTCCCTAGGACAGGACCAACATCGAGTACGAATTTGGAGTAAATTACTCTTGGCAATTTCAAGAGTATCACCAAACATTCGCAAGCTTTTGATTGCTCGAAAAAAAGCTCTGGATGATACAATAGAAGGTCTTGGGAAACATGGATTAATTCCTTGCAGTATTAAATATGAAGATAAACGTGTGGGACAACCAACGGAATCCCAACTTCTTCCTTTATCAGCGAAATTGAAAGAAGAATTGGAAGCAAGAATAGACGCATATAAACTCGCTCTTCATAAAATTGAAAATCTTGGCAAGGATGCGGTGAGGAGGTCGAAAGGTAAATACTTACTTTTCTCACTTTTTAATATTCAAATAGTGAAATCCATTGTTCGAGAAATTCCTCATATTATCTATGTTCACTAGAGGGGAATGAAATTCGCTGTGTGGGAAATCATTATTTAGTTAATGCAATACTAGTAGTTGACATAGTTTTGATCATATCCACGAAATTGCGATTTTTCAGTATAATTTGTTTATTATCACGTCAGAAGAAAAAAAAAATTTAATACCGCATTTTCTACGTAAAACTCATTTATTTTCAACTGTAATGTTTCTATCCAAGATAAAGTTTTTTGTATTTAATAAAAAAATTTATTCCAAACATCAACACAATTGAAATAAAAGTGACAATGAACAAACTTCTTAGTGGAATGACCAGAGTGACCTTTATAATTAAATAAACGCTTTTTCATCCCTAGTAATTTTGTTAGTTTGTAATTTTTTTCATTATCAAACTATTCCAAGTAGGGTAAGAAAATCCCTAGATGAATCAACATAAAAAAACAGACAAAATCCAAAGCTAAAGAAGTGAAAATTAAATAACATATTTCCTTTTTTTAGAATAAAATATTATTTAAAAAAAAAATAATTTTATTTAATTTTTTAATTTGAAGTTTCCTACAAATTGTTCTATTTATTTAACATTTGCAAATGACACGGAACCGAGCATGTCATTTGAATATTCTACTAAAAACATCTCAGTCATTTGAAATATATTTCAAACAGTGTTTTAGGTATTTAAAGTACATTTAAGAGTCTAAATTGTCAGACATTGATGCATTTAAACGAGAGAAAGAGATATAAATAAAATCAATATTATATATTTAGTTTTCCAACATTAACAATAATTTTAAAACTCGATTCTAAATGTTAAAATATCAAATACCTTGTTATTGCAAATAAATTAACTACTTGAATAATCAGTAGTATGAAAATACCTGATATAATTACCATTAACTTCATATCGATGTTGAAAGTAGAAATTTTATCACTTTTTCATGTTATTTCGATATCAAAATACGTTGTAACATCCGTTTATGTAAATATGAATGAGTGTAAAAGTTCAGAATGAATGTATAATAAATTGGAAAATATTCAAGCAGTATAACGTAAATCGATTCGATATTATTTTAAAACTTGAAATATTTTATCAAGTTTGAAACTCATCAAATAAGAACCAAAAATGAAAAAAAGAACTAAGTGTATGAAGAATAAAATTCAAAGACTGGAAAAATATTGCTTAAGGGATGAACCCTATGGATCATATAAACAAATCAATTATAGCAATGAAATATTTTCTTTCATGTACTTAATAACCTTTTAATTTTCCAATAATTGAGATATCAAATTTTGAATTGAAACATTTCCTGATCCGATTAGTTAATATTTTTGCTCATTGTGGCAATGTATTTAATTCATTTAATCTGCTATTAATATTGTTCAATAATCTACTCTAATATCATAATCTCCATTTTACACTTGATGAATACATTTTATACGATTAATTGTTTTTTTATTTATAATCAAGCAATTTGTAAATATTTTTTAAATCTCTTTGGAGTTTTAATGCTTTTGTGCTGAGTAATTAATTTACTTTCTACTATTTAGATTAATTAATTGAATCGCTTCGACCAGAAATAATTACACAAACTGACGTGTATTTTATTGTTTCAAGTTCGAATCGTGTTTTCGACCAATTCTGAACCGCACATCACGAATATGCCATTCATTTTCATTAATCATGTCAGATTCTCTGACACATATTGAGCCTTAAAAAAAAATACTAATGATTGATATGGTTTTGTATTCCAATTGTTTATGAAAATAAACAATCAATGATTACATATGTTTTTCGTGATAAAATTCAATTATTTTGATAGAAGAATAATTGATAAAACGCTTTAGAACACTTTCTGCACTAATAGAGTAAATGAGAATTGGCTATATTTTGAAACAAACTTTCTAATTTAAAAGATCAACCAAAAAAAGCAATTGGATTTTTTTTATTAATTGAAGTACGTTTAAAAGCTTTTATACTTCAAGTTTTTAATCTTTCTCTCAATGGTTTTCAATAAAAAAAAATCTTTTAAACTAACCTATTTTTATTTAGCATTTTAAAAAAACAGAAAAATTATATATTATAACAATTTTACAAAAAAACATTTGATGTTTTTTAATCTCTCATTTATTAGTATATCTTTATGACAAAACTCATTTCCTGATTTCATTTAAAAGTTATCATTTTAATAAAATATTCTCTTTGCTCATCATACAGCATCATACTATTTCTTTTTCTAGATACTCGTGCGATGAATGTTCCATTTTTAAATTGAGTTTTCTGTCAAAATCATTCTCTCTAAATAACATTTTCGCCAACACAAACTACGTCAAATGTTTTACCAAACAAAAATGATAAAGCAAACTTCTTTTTATCTAATCAATCTAAACCTTTATATTTTTACTTTGAATGTGCTTTATATTCTTTTGCAATGATAGGTGATCCCCATGGACTGCGATCTGCTTCACATCAACGTCTACTTTCCTTAAAATACAGTGAAGTTCAACAACGTCTTATTGATAATCAGAGTCTACTTAATACTCTTGAAAAAGCCAGTGGAAGAAACCTAGAAGAGCTATCGAACGAGCTAGCACGTAGAGTGGAACAGGACAAAGAAGCTTTAAGACAGTGGATGTCCTTACGAAAATCCTCTGGAGAAAAAGACCGGGGTGACACCAAAGAGCAACCAGCACTAGCTACTCGTCTTTTACAATTCTCTAGAGCTTGTGGACTTGCTTTAGAGCTCATGAATAACCCAAGTGTAGAACCAGTATGTTATTAATGTAAAAATCTTTTTCTTTTCCAATGTATACAATAATTCTTTTTGACTTTTTCTTTATTATCTTAGAGGTCTAGCTGGTGTGGTGAATTTTTCTCGACATTGATTGAAGATGAGCGGTTTGATGTAGCCGCAGCTGAGTCCAGTAGTGCGGGTTATCATACTGATGACAGCTGCAGTCCCGAGCCAATTAGTTATCTTTCTAGTCTGCCTGTTTCTGAAGTTTATAAGAAGAAGGATGATGTGGGTTTTAGTTCGACTTTTTTTGAACTAACTACTCAACAGTTGACTGAGAAATATGTTGGATTATATGCTCAAGCACATCTTCATACGCTTGATGCTCTAGATGCACTGGAAACTCTGAAAGACGCTACGGATTTGAAATCAAAGATCCTTTTTTCGGTATTGGTGGTAAGAAATTAGATTTTATGGGAATTGGTTTTCTTCTTTCAATTGGATTTCCCCTTTTTCATCCTTCAATCATTCCTACATCAAATTGATCTATTTTATTAAAATTTGTTGAATAAAAATTTAAGCTTTTTTTATCAATATCTTTTAATCATCATGATGGAAACATTTCATTTCAATATTTGAAATTCAATTGTTGATTTCTTTTTTTTTTATTATGCAATATAAATATTGGTTTTATGGTATTCTTATTTTGTAAAAAAAAATGGAAATGTTTATTTCACAGCGTAAAACTCAATTTACTGGATAAGCTTTGTTTCATCAGCAAAAGGGAAATTCGGATAGAATTTCGTTCACGCCAATAGCTTAAATAAAATACACATCAATGTCTATTACAATTTTTTTTTTAAAGACTGGAAAAAATTAAAACATTTGATTGTATAGTATTATTTTTGACAATCAGTGAACAATATTGATAAAATGTTGTGAAAACTTTAAATTACGAATAACGTGATTACATGATGAGATATTTACCTTGACATAAATTGTGATTTTGTTGTCATGCTTAATGAGCTCAACTTTATAAATACTGGATGGATAAATAATTTTAAAATACGTGACAAAATTTTTTTTTCATGTTAATCATTCTACTTTGAGTAGTATGATGTATATGACGATATTCTTGACGATTATTGATATAATAAAGAAAATGACTTTCTTTGGTAAATCAATGGTGTCATAAAAAACGTTTTAATTGAATGTCCATCATAATGGAGAGATATTGTGAAAGGGTCAATGTATTAGTAAAGAGTCAAAGGTTGTGCTGAGTTACAAGCACTAGAAAAAACCTGAAAGATAATATTCGTTTATAAAATCGACTTGCATGGATATTGATTTTATTAACTCACCGAGTATGATTAATTATTTTTCAACCACCAGACGATAAAAATTTAATTACTATTTCTTTGAAAAATTTTCAATCACTTAAAGTTCTTATAACAGCTTTAGCATAATAAAATTCTTGCTGCATAATGGGAATTATAATTAGTAAATAAAAGCATGCAAGAATTTCATTAACAAAGCAGCAAAGAAATCAATTTCAAATTTTAATTTTGAACTAATTTTTTTACATTTTAATATAACATCAAAAAATCCTTTATACCTTAATTTATCATTAATTGTCTCATTTGTAATGGTGTTAAATGAAATTAGAAATGTTATAACATGGTGTTATGATCATAATTAGAATTAATTCTATTACAATGGTCACAAATAATTATATAACTAAGCCACAATAATTTTCCAGTTATCATGGAGAATAGCAGACAGCATCCAAACAGCTCGGAAACATGAAGCAGCGGATATCCTGTCGGGTCCAGATGACCCTGACGATCCAAATCGACGGCAGTTGTCCGATGAAATCGAGGTCTGCATGAGACGACAATTGGCAACATCCGGATTCGAGAGTGGTACTCGACAAGTGGCACTTCGTATCATGGATCAGTTAAAAAATACTCTATATGATTATCCATGTCTTGAAACTTGTGAAGAACTTCAAAGTTATGCTTTATCTTGTGCACGTCTAGCTTGGGCTTGTTTAGCAAGAGAAACCCCACTAGTTCTTGATACCATTGAACCACGCCAGAGATTTGCGCCTGTTGAGTTTAGGCGAGAGTTTCACGCTCGACATCATTCATCACCTAATTCTCAGGGCAAGAGAATTGTCGGTGTAGTTTGGCCTGGTCTTAGACAAGCAAACTTACAAGGAACTTGTCTCTACAGAGCAGTAGTCCTTACTGCTTAAAGTTTTCTCCAAGTTTAGAAAAGTTTTGACTCGAAGATTATTACCTATCTCCAGAATACAGTCGTACATTTTGAAATGCTCAAATTTCATTTTATACTGATTTTATAATTTAGATGTGTATTTGTATTTTTTTATTTTAATATCATTAAAAATCTTCTGATACTTTTTTATATTAAGTTTATGAATTTACTGCGATTCCTTTAAAATATTAGATAACTATGCGAAACTAATATCTGTCAATTATTACTTCTTAAACAATAACATTTCTATCTGTTACTAATATTTTTAAAAACATAGACGAGTGTCATTAACGATTGAACCACGTTTTATCAATAAGAACAATTGTAGGTAATAAAGAAATTAATAATCTATAATACAGTTGATGGTCAGTTATCAATAGAGATATAAGTGGTTAGCTAGTACTTGCATGGAGATGTTACTTGTACGTTATAAATGATAGAAAGCAAGTTGAAAAGTGTGTATAAAAAAACTGCGTAATCACTCTTGAAAATAGACAAAAATAATTTTTATTAAATAAGTTCATTTATAATGATCAAGTTAATTGAAAAGATAGATTTGTCAGGTGGTACATTAATAGTTCCAGCTGTAGCAGTTGGAAATGTTGGACAACTTGCTATAGATCTACTCATTTGTAGTTTAGAAATGAAAAGGATTGGACATTTGATAAATTCCTGTTTTATTCCTGTCTTGGGAACAGATCCTTATAATGAATATTCCAATGAATTGTGTACTTCTTGTGATATTTATTATGAAGCTAAAAAAAAAATTGTAGCTCTACAAATAAGATCACCACCTGTCAAGGATCTTAAAAGTTTTTTTGATGAATTAAAAGAGTTTATAAGCAATCAAAAAATATCTCAGGTAATTTATATATGTTTTGAATATTGTATAAAAAAAAATGTTTACTAACTAAATGAAATACTAAAGATAATTTCTCTAAATAAATTTTTTTCTTAGGTTATAATTTTAACTAGTAGTTGGGCTCATACTAGGACAGATGTACAAATAAGAAGTGAACCAATGCGTTATGTAGCATCTCCAGCGATTGAGAAAAATTTTGAATCCAAATTTCAAAAATTAAATTGGCTCAAACTTGAACCAATAATAAATCCTGAAGACGACCGACAACGTTTCCAAATTTCTGGGGGTGGTTTTGCTGCAAAACTATTCAACTTCTTCTTTGAAAATCAAATTCCTTGTTTAATTCTTCTCAGATTTTGCTCTGAAGGCGATAACATAGAAGATGCAGTTGTTTCATTGAGTTATTTAGATAAATGGCTCGAGTATGGAATTAGCTCTACGGGTCCAATTCTTCTGAAACATCCTCATTCTTGGGCCTCACTATTTGGCAATCCAGCTCCAGACGAGATTTATTGAGTTATTGTTTAAGTTCTTTCGATAATAAAAAAAAATTTGTATAAAAAATTAGATTATATCGTATAGTAAATTTTTTATTTACAAATTCATAAGGTAATATAAAAAATTGATTTTAATTAATAAATAAGAATCTTTATTACTTATTTTACCATTAATTAAAAATTTAATATCAAATCTTAGTTCTTAAGCCAAAAGCTTAGATTTAGCTGAGAATGCTGCATATGAAACGAGCGCTGCAAGAAATACAGCGAGAAGCTCTGAATTAATCCAAGGTCCTTGATATATTCCAGGATTATTCACCATAACTACAGCAAGAGGTTTAATGGATTCTGGATCTTCACCGTTTCTATAAGCTTTTCGTATTGCTGCATAACCTTCTTCATCATATAATTTTACATTGTAATCTCCAGAACGTGCTTTTTTAATGTCTTCAGTCCATGAAACCTTGAAAAAGGATTATAAATTATTAATTACAGTATTCCTGTATGCATCTTAATAAATTTGGAATAATGAGTCATTAAATATAAACAACAAGTTTAGCTAAAAAGATTGCTGTGGTTTGCGAAAGAAAAATTGTTTTAATTTTCAAAATGGCTCATTTATTTTCAAACAAATTCTAATCATCTAAAATAAACTGCTTTGGTTGAGATAGTAATTTTCAAATAGAGCATTTTAATTTAAAATATCAATTAAGTTTATTGGTTAGTTCAATTATCTTAAAAACTTACTTGGTATTTGTTATCAGCACTAAGTCTGACAGCAGGAAGGATTTTTCCTTCACATTCAGCATAAAGAGAAATATCCTTAACTCCATTACTACATTTTAGAGTAAATTGTGTAGTAAAAGCAACATTAGTCAGTATGGTTGCATCTTCTGTTACATATGCTGAAGCTGTAACCTCTGGTTTCTGACAAGTTTCAGCAACAATTAACGGATAGAATGCAAAAATAATGCCCATAAAAATTAAAGTATCCATTTTTTTTAATTTTTATACTAAATTAACTTTAACTTTCTGTTAACTTAACTGAAATACACTTCAAGTTTTGTTGAAAAATAATACTCAATGTATTCTTGTGTTGGTGTTGTTGTTCGGACAACTATATAACCAACAACTGAGCAACTAAAGACGATGATGTGTTGCCACGTCACGTGAGTGTGTGGATGACGCCAGTTGCTGGGAAATCAGGTGTAACCTTAGGGTGCCTGCACATGATCACGCCGGAAACGAATGGAGTAGAAAACGGAAATCTATGTAGTGGGGAGGTCAATAAGACTTTGCGAATTCCTATACCATATGCTGAAAGCGGCAAAATCGCGAAAAATTAAATGGACTAAAAACAATATCATTAGTGACAGATATTTTTCAAGAAAATCGAGATTTTCTATTTGAATGTTGGAGGTATGTACATAGGATTAATACGATGGATTAAAATGGTTGGAAAGGATAGTGAAAAAAAAAATGGTGTTTTGATATAAAAATACAAATAAAACATGTGTAATAAATGACCTAGCTTTTTGAGTTTTAAAACATAATAATAGATTTTTTATTCTATCTAAAATTATAATATTTATTGAAAAAGATGAATTATTCTATATCTAACTTATCATTTTATCAACTAAATAGATTATAGAGTCTTGTAAATTTATTAAGTCCTGTAATTATTCATAATAAATAGTTAATTTTCAATGGATATATATATTTTTTGTACAAAAAAAGAGCAACGCGTGCAGTATGAGATATGGAAGTACATACGATATATACACTCATTTAAGGCAGCAATATTATTTTGTGTCATTATATTGATGTATGAATCATGAAATAAACTATAAATTATTGAAAAAAAGAAGAGAGAGAAAATGGACTCAGAATAACATTAAAAATCAAAGTAAAATATTTCTATAAAGCGAAAAATGTTCCTGTGCCACCTCGAAATTTTTTTTATTTTTAAAACACTTGTTTTGTATCTTGATACACATGTATACAAATATTAATTTTACGCGTGTAAGTGTGTGGATGTACATAAAAGTGTAAATTTTTGATGCATGTTATCCAATATTTTGTAAAATTTTATCATTATGTATCTCGACAATAATTTTTTAAATTTTCTCATAGGCTGTCTTGTATGTTTTTATTGATACTCAAAATTCATAGAGTATGTCTTGAAATGATTATCAACAAAATTTACATAAAAGTGTAGTCTATACATTAACAACACACACACTTGCACACGCACGCAATTTACAATAATATTTTGCATGTTTTTTCATCAAAAAAAGTTATTAGTTCAATTCTGTGAATGCCTCGCGTGTTTACAATTTGTAAGCGACTTCATTCTACGATTTTTCATTGGTACATTTAAATGTTATGATCAATAATCAATCATAAAAATTTATTTTTTAATTTTTGATGCCCATTTGAGTGATTTATTCCAATTATTAATGAATGTATTGATAAAATGGTAAACGGACAGATGTTAAATCATCCTGACCGATCAGATTTGATGATAATTAATTAAAAATCATGGCGTATGTGATATATAATATAAAAATATGAATGTGACCGCGATGGGTTACGTGGTTCACGCTAAGCTTCTTAGACATCTACTTTGTTTCATCATTTTCAATTTATGTTCATTCTTCACAATCAATATGGTTTTTATTTTTAAATCTGTATTAAATCACACGCGAGAGTATTGTCACGCATGATCTGCCATCATAACACTCCATTTATCGCATTTTGAATTTATAATTAATTACCTCATAATCATTATTATTATTATAATAATAATTATTACTAGCTTAATTAGTTAATCATTAATAATAACAATGGGGTCGTTGCCGATCCTTTTTTTTACAAGTACCATCTCCACTAATCTCGTAAGTTTATTTCACTAAAAAAACATTTGAATTTGTCATTTTTACGTTTTATTAATTATCTCCTTTTTTAATCTCTTTTTACTATCAATTTATCAATTTTATCTGTCAATAGTAACCTCATCTGCAGTAATTAATGCAACCGTTGCTGCTAAAAAGCACTTTTTTAAATTCAAGTAAAATATTATTTAATTTATAATCCTCTCTCGCTCGCGAAAGACTTTGCAATCTTAGTATTTATTTTATTATTTATTTATTTTAATTTATTTCGCGTTTTAGCATCGACACATAAAGTCGCGTGAACAAGCGCTCTTACCTATTACTTATTTTTATAATCATTATTGTACCGAAAAAAAAAATCTGAGGCCAAATGTTAAGCAAAGCACAATCATTATAAACATATTGAATTAATTTTACAAAGATCTATTTATTATGATAAAACCCCGGCCATGGCTCAAATATAAACTAAAAAAAAAAACAATAATCTCGTAAATTCATTTTTAATAGCAATAAAATAAGAAACAGTACAATAATAATAATAATAATAATAATAATATTAATAATAATTAATAATAATTGATCAATTATCATTTAATGTCACATAACACCTTTAGCCTTTTTGCAATTTTTCCTTTTTGTGTTATAAGAAATTCTTTGTTCTCTATTCATTGCTTACACCTCATACCCACCGTTATAGTTATTAGCTCTAATAATAAAGATGGAATAAAAGATGTTGATGATAATATAATTTTTATCCTTATTATTACTCACTCCTATTCACATCTGTTAAATACTTTTTACTTTATCGCGTTACGTGGATGAAAAAAAAAATTTTTATAAAAATTGAATAAATAAAAATTTTTTATAAAATTTTTTTATAACAAGTGATACATAATTATTCACTTTTCTCTCCTCTTTCTTTATCTTCCATTTGTGGCATGATTTCATTGAATTCATTTAAAATTTTAATTATGTAAAATAATTGATCAGTTTATTTTTCATGCCAATATTTAAAAAACTTCGTGCATTGTGATTTGATTCCAATTTGCATTTAATCCCTTTTCCTCTCTTCTTTTTCAATTCTTCACGCAATTATTACAATATGAATTGATTAAGAGCCGAAAAACAATATTTATTATGTATATACTCAAACACTCAATATATACATAATTATATTTATGATGTACATGTAGTGTGATGTCAAGTACACGCATAAATCTGTTTTGTTTTTAGTAAGATGAAAGATCAAGAAATAAAATTCATTAGCGTAGAACACATTATAAGATGCTCAAAATTTAGTTAATTTTTTTGTTTAATGTATACTGAAAGTATATTTACATATACTTTACAGGAGGATCGCATGAGAAACCACGACGTAGAGAGTGATAAAAAATTAAAAGTAAAATAAAAAAAATGAACGACGTCGTAGTTGAGGCCAATGACCCTCATTGTCCACTTCAGCTTCTTTCTTAGAAATCATTGCTTACGTGTTCTAGTTTATTTCTTGCACTCTCGTGATTTCAATTCAAGACAGACAAATGCGTTACTACACCGTTATCCTATCCATGTTTACAATTGTAGAAAAACAATGATCGAAATATGTCGACTATTAAAGCGTGAAAACCGGCGTGATTATGAAGAATTAGTGTATGTACTTTAAATAAGTGTAAAAAGGGTGCCTGAATTAATAGAGGCCGGTGTCGTCGCCAGATTTTATCAGACCAACGAAGCAATCAAATTCCAAAATTACTTATTTCTTTTCAATTTTTTTTTTTTGTTTTTTTCGTAAATTATTCGTTTTATTTATTAATTATTTCTGCTTTGATATTGTATTCATCTGGCGTACCATCTTGTACGCAGCTCGTTGCGTCGTTATGTGTATGTTTCCGCTTTTGACTTCGACCGGTACTAACGATCGATGACGTTGAGCAAATTTTACTCGACTACCTTCAGCACCTTTCCAATAGCAATTGTTTTATCTGCAATTTAAATGATAATTAATATTTATTCAACAGTTCTATAGTAAAATTAATAATGAGGTGATTCAAACATTTAAGTTTTGCCAAAATGTTGAATCGATTCTTTACTACATTAAAGTATGTAGTTTTCCAATATCTATATTCGATTATATCTTCCTTTAAATTCTGAACTTAATAGTTGAATTATATCAGAAAACCAATTTCAACATCAAAGCAAATGAATGAAATTGACTACCTAATTATTTTTGAGAAAGAATCAGTAAAGAGTACATAAGAAATAAAAACAGAAACTTACTTTCATCCCTGAGGGTAAATCGTCCCATTTGTGGAAAGAGTTTAAATTTTTCAAGGCAAATGACTCCAGCACACTCTATTCTCATAATAGCAACTTGGTCTTGTTTAACGAACCTCGGTCGCGTTTTACTTTTCTCTCCTGTTTTTTTGTCAACCAAACAAAGAAGTGTCTTGACGGTGACTTCTTCAGCAGCGCAATGAATGTGCATAACTGCACTATATCCCGCGCAAATGATACTCTTGTGTTCTAAGATAACAACCTGAGCATCAAAGACTTTTCCAGTTGTTATAGGATTGTTACTATCGCAAAGAACAAATCCTGGACTAACGTCTTCTTCTTCAATACCCTTTAGTTTGATCTTGACATTTTCTCCGGGCCCAACAGACGTTACTTCTTCATCATCTGACCACAATTGATCTACCGTTACTGCCGTCCTATTTGGCATAACTAATAGAGCTTGACCTTTTCTTGATTCACCAGCTTCAACTTTCCCCATCACTACCGTACCCATATCCTTATACTTATCTACGATAGGCATAATAAATGGTCCATTGCTCTTACGATTAAGTGATGGTAAAGAATCAATGAATGGGATAAAAGGTGGACCCTTATACCAAGTGCATAGCTGTTCAGGAATGGGATCTTTCAAACCAATTCCTAATTGTCCTGAGACCGGCATGAATGTTAAATCTTTTGCTGGATTAAAACCTAATTTACGAAGGTATGGCAGAATTTTATCTCTGAAAAAAAAAATTGATAAAATTAATAACATTATATTTCTTTATGACTGTGTTGAGATATTAAGAAATTTTCGATATGAATCAGTAATAGTCAACAGATGATATTTGAGAACATAAATTGAAAAACGATCATTGATATATGTATATTTAAACAGCTTGTTGCTATGTACCTGCACTCGTTGTATCTCGTTTCATCCCACTCGACAGTAGGATCATCCATTTTATTAACTAAAACTACTAGATGTTTAACACCTGCTGTTTTTGCAAGCATGGCATGTTCTCTCGTTTGTCCGCCTCTATCAAAGCCAGTCTCAAACTCGCCTTTTCGTGCTGATATAACGAGAACAGCAAGATCAGCTTGAGCTGCACCACCAATCATATTTGGCACAAAACTCTTATGACCAGGAGCATCAAGAATAGTAAAATGTTTTCTCTCAGTTTCAAAGTACGCTCTGCCTACTTCAACTGTCTTTCCTTTTTCTCTCTCTTCTTGATTGGTATCTAATGCCCAGCTGAGATACCAAGTTTCTCGGCTTCTCTCTTTAGCCTCTCTTTCATACTTTTCTAAGGTTCTTTTATCTACCATACCTGTCAAAGCCATTATTTGACCACCGATTGTTGATTTACCAGCATCTATAATCATTTTTTAATATTATCATTCTTTTCATTACTAATTAACATTTTTTATAAGATTAGTCATCTTTATGATAATATCGGTCTGACTTACCAACATGTCCGATGAAAACGACATTGACATGTTCTTTTTTGCTTTTTGTGTCTTCTGTTATTTTGACTGGTTTCTTTTTAATTACTTTCACAACCGTTTCTTCATCTTCTTCAATATCCACCTAATAGTAATAATAATAATGATATATGGATGTCAAATTCATGAAAAGATGAAAAGTTAAGAAATATGTAAGAAAAATTGTAATACTAACCTCTTCGTTTTCTGGTGTCAATAAAGGATCACCATCAACTGCAGCTTCTTCCCAGGAATCAGCCGGTTGATGTTCCGGACTGCTGTTACTTGCTTCATGATCAGTTACACTCGGAGGTGGAGGTGCTCCTCCTCCAGCAGGAGGTTCTTCAACCCGGTTGCTCACAGGATCTGGTGGTAGGGCTGGTACCGAAGCAGCTATCAATCCAACATACGATCATGAGTATGCAAACATTAAATTAAATTTTATGTACATTTTAATTAATATTCAACAAGTCTAGACAATAATACTACTTCCATATATTAGATACTAAATAGAATAAACTGGTGAAAACCAGCTAAGTTTTATCACTAGTCAGGTTATCATTTTGTACCAGAAGGGGGTGTTGAAGAATGGGGTTAGAGAGATTAAATTTGCAATTATCAACATCTCAAGATGCTAATAAGAGATAAATAAAAAAAAAATTATTATTATTGAAAAAATAACTAACTGTGATGAGTTTCTGGAGGTACAAAAGTAGTTGTTCCAACATCGGAGATATTTGATTCGTCAACAGGCGTATCATTGGTAGTATTAGACGGGGCTAAGGTGTCGACATTTGTCGTCGGTATATCCGTCTTCAGTAATGAGTTCATGCAGAATGAAGGCACAAATTCCGCTGCATTAACATTGAGAGTCGAGAATTTTCCCTCGATGAATGTATTGTCGGCTGTGGTGTCAGCGCTGTCCGCCTGCTGTTCCCACGAGTCCGGTGCTACGCTGTTCGCCATATTTATCAATGTTTCGGCACACCCAGTCTATAGCTCACGAAAATCCGTTCCACAAAACTTCGTAATAATTGTTCAGTTTTAACTCACTCCGAATAACTCTTGAAATGCTCTTAAAAAAATAATATTTGCGGGTATATGCGCGCACAGCACACGCGTATGGCTCGTCCGCGTGCAGTCCCCGTGGTCTGTTTCGCTCCTGCTGCTCCTAGTACTGTTCTTGGCCACCGGAAGTTTACTACGCTCGTCAAAAGACGTTTATTAATACTTGACTTTACCATCTGTCGTTATATAGTCATTAATTTGAACAAAATTTATCTATCTCCGCTTTATGAAATATTATTTTATTATTTATAAAATTATTTTACGTTTATATTTATTATAAAATTAATTATTTTTTTATTTTTGTAATTTTTTTCAAAAAATTTTACTTATTTTCTGTTATCAGAAACTTTTTTGAAAGTCAAAATACTTTTTACATGTCAATTACCTCAGCCGAAACGTATTCATCTATTTTTAAACGTTTTTGTTTTTATTATCTTTATGAATGCATTAAAATCTTTAATGATAATAATTGATTTTTAATTTCAATTTTCTATTGAAGAAAATTAATTTTCTGTTATTTTTGATAATATTACAAAATCTGCTTCAAATAAATGTATTTCTGGTACATTCAAGATCTTCGATGGTAAAAAAATTTTAAACAATAATGGCGAACACGTGTTTGGAAACGTTTATGATTGCATACATGTGTGTAAAATAATATTTAAACATTTGTATGTTTTTAACATTCTTCTCAAGTATTCAATAGATTATCATTACTGATCTGAATGAACAATGCTTCAATTCATTAAATAGTAATTACAGATATTAACTATAGAAAATCTACGAATAGTCAAATATTTGTAAGGTATTTTGTAAGAAGCTTATTTAAACATTAGTAAATCACAAATTATGAATTTATAATTAATATGAAATTTCGTTGTTAATAAATATTATCTTTTACATTTAATAGTCATGCATTTAAAAAATATTTGGAGGTTATACCCACATAGCAAATTAGTCTTTAACAATGGAAAACGATTTTATACAAACAAAAATATTCTTAATCTTCGAGATAGAGAGATATTTCAGGATTTATTTCCACCAACTGCTGTGTGAGTAATGCTCCATTATCTTCCATACTACAATTGTTATTGGAATATCTCTTAATTAACTTTATCTGTTTTTTAGTTCTGAAATGAAGGAGCTTTTAATCAAGTCACCTCAGTGTGTATATTCAGGTTTTGATCCAACTGCTGATAGCCTTCATGTTGGCAATTTATTGGTTTTGATGAATCTACTCCAATGGCAAAGAGCAGGACATCAAGTAATTATTTTAATAGGTGGAGCAACAGGACAGCTTGGGGATCCAAGTCATAGAACGAAAGAAAGAGAGGAATTAAATTCAACCGTACTCGCACAGAATGTTGAATCTATTAAACAAAATATTGAAACGATTTTTCATAATCATGCAAAATATTTTTGGAAAAATCAAAGCAATTCTTTAAAACCTGCAATTATTATAAATAATTTAGATTGGTACAAAAACTTGAATGTAATTGAATTTATCAGAAGTGTTGGAAAACATTTTAGACTTGGAACTATGTTAGGACGATCATCTGTTCAATCGAGGTTAAATTCAGAAAGTGGCATGAGTTTTACCGAATTTTCTTATCAAGTATTTCAAGCCTATGATTGGCTTTATTTACTTAATAAGTATAAATGCTATTTTCAAGTCGGTGGAAATGATCAAATGGGAAATATCATGTCCGGACATGATTTTATAAACAAACTGACCAAAAAAGATGTTTATGGATTAACCGTACCATTAATTACTACAGAAGGAGGTAAAAAATTTGGAAAATCGTCTGGAAATGCTATTTGGCTTTCACCACTCAGATCTTCAAGTTTTATATTTTATCAATTCTTCGTAAGAACGCCAGATAGTGATGTTGAAAGGTTTTTAAAGTATTTTACATTTCTAACTATTGGTGAAATTGAGACTATCATGAAGAGACACAGACAAGCACCTGAAAAAAGACAGGCACAAATGATTTTAGCAGAGGAGGTGACTCGTTTAGTCCATGGTGGTAAGTATTACATGATAGCATCACAAAATAAATTAATAAATGAAATATTTTTACTTTTGAAAATAAATACATTTCTAGGACAAGGTTTGCAGTCTGCCAAGTCTACATCCTCAGTTTTATATGATAATTCGATTGAATCATTATCACGATTAAGTGCTGAAGAAGTGATAAGTGTATTTGATGGTGCAAATGTAGTGGAAATACCACCTGAACCAGGTATGACAGCTTACGGGCTGGCAATGAAAATAAACTGTTTTAAAAGTGATCATGATGCTCTAAGAATCATCCCTGCTGGTGGATTTTACATTAACCACAATAGAATTACAAATACTGAAGAAGTCATAACACCAGGAATTCATATATTAGCAAATAACTTAACTCTTGTACGAGTTGGAAAAAAAACTTACCATGTGGTAAAATGGTTGATGTAAGCAAATAGAAAATATGTAAATGAATTTTTTCATTTATAAAATATTTAGGGTATGTACATAATAATTTTATAAATAAAATGGCTGATAAGTCAATCACATTTTCAATTCACTGAGCTAACTGTAATGTTAAAAGTATTTTTCGAACATTCTCTTTAAGATGAGGGAAATCACGACTTGTTTGTTCCATGATTTCTATTAAATCATTATTTAAAACTTTTTGTTTTTCAAATTCTTCATTTAATATCGTTTCAGATTTATAAAACATTTTATACTTTCCATCTCGCACTTTTTGTAGTAAATTCATTTTACGTTGTTTGCGAACTAAACATTCAAGCTTCTATATAAAACAGGATGAACATTATATTAAATCAAATATTAATATGCGATAAATTAGATTAAAAAAAATTTTTAGAGGCACTCTTACATGATGTTTTATAAGTTCAGCATCTACAATTCGTTTGTCAATTTCCACCAATTCCTCTTCATATTTCTTCAAGAGTTTCTTATTCTCTTCTATGTCTTTTTCAAAGTTTGATTTTTGAGTTTGTATTTCCGTTGTTTGTTTTTCTAAGGCTTTGCAATCCTAAAAATGTCGAATAATCATTATTATTATTATTATTATTCCTTACTTATTATATCGCATACATTTATATTTTCCTACTTTTATTATTTGTTTAATCTTCATTCTTCTTCCATCCATCCTCTTTTCAAATAATACTTGTTTATTATGAGTTCCTTTGGGATTCTTTTGGTCTTTTGCTAGAGCAGCATCTATTATCATTTCTCTTCTTGTCACACAGTGTTCCATATCTTTAATCATCTTCTCTTGAGCTTTTTTAAGATGTGATAAACGAATTTCCATTTTGTGTATTTCACTCTTCATAGTCGCTACTTCTCCTCCAGGATTCTGTTCTTCTTTAATCATTTTTGATGTTTCTGCTGCAAGTTTCACCTTCTTTTCCCATGAAAAAAATTCTCGATGCGCATCACGAAGTTTTTCTTCTAACAAACATTTTTCTTCACCTAAATTTCTTATATTATTCTGAAGTTTAATTAACTCAGCCTCTTCTTCTTGTAACTTCTTAGTGAATTCATCTTTAGTAAAAAAGTTTTTGTCTTGAAGCTGATCTTTAATCTCTTTTTGCTCAGCAAGTATGGCATTTGTTTTCAAGAGTCTTTGATGAAGGTTATTCATCCGCTTATCAATATTTTTTTCTAATTGTTTTTCATTTTCTAATAAATATTCCAATTTCAAATTTTTCTGCTCCATTATCATGATTTGTTTGTTCAAACGATTAATTTCTTCAATAGTATCATTTTGTTCTTGAGTTAATCGTACTAAAAGACTCTCTTTTCTTAGCCATTGTCGTTGAGCTTCTCGATTTTGAAGATCAACTTCTTCAATATTTTTTTCCAAAGTTGCAATTTTAATATCTTCTGGTGCCACATCTATTCCTCCAGTTGATTGATTAAGTTCTTCAACTTTATTATTTAATTCATTTAGTTGCTTTTGCTTTCGATCGATTAATAAATTATATTTTTCCACCTGAGATACTATGTCATTGAACTCTTTTTCTCGTTGTGCATTAGCATTAATAAGCTCTTCTAAATGCTCTTTTTTGACAGCAACATCATTGGATAATCTTTCTAAATTTAATAGATTTTTCCCATACTGGTTTTCAGCTTGAAACATAGATAATTCTAGCTGTTTATTTGATTCACCAAATTCTCGTAAAACTTTTGTAAGACTTCTCATAGTTTTATCTTGAACCACTCTATCTTCCAACTTGGATAATACTTCATTTTCTAAAATATTTTTCTGATTTTTTATTTTATCAAGCTCTTGTTCTGTAGCTCTTTCTTTATTTTTGAAATGTTGATGTAACTAAAGTTTTTAAATAAAATCAAATAATGTATAAAAATAAAAAATTGAATTATTAATGCAAAATAAAATTAATAAATTTACATAATTCATTCAAATCAATATTTCAAACTTACAGAAGAAACATTAGTATATTCAAGTTCTGTTTGATTCACAAATCTCACGATTTCATTGGTTTTATATTCAAGAACACTGAGCTGATCTTTGGCAGCAGTTGTTGATGTTTTAGCTGATGCTAGTTCTTCTTCTAATCTCATATGAATAGCTGTAAGTTTTTCATTATTCTCCATTTCTTTATAAGTGTCTTTATTTAGTTTTTCTAACTTTGTTTGCAATGTTTTGAAAGATTCTTGCATTCTCCTAAGGATAAAAAAATTCTTAAATTTAATGATATATTTGATATATTATCTACTTACATTCTTTCTTGTGATAAATCATTGTAAATTTCATCTCTCTGTGATATACTATTGACAACACTTTTCCAAGCATCTACCAAGTCAGTGCGTTCTCTCTGAAGAGCTTCAAGATCTGTATCAGCATCAGCGATTGTCTGACAAATAGCTAATTTTTCTTCTTCTTTAATATTTGTTTGCTGCTTTAAATCATCGATTTCCTTTTCCAGTTTCCAAATTTGTTCTGATACATTTAGAAGAATGTAATCAGCCTCTTGTTTTTGACGGATCATTTCTCTCTCAATTTTTGCATCTTTCTCTGACATTCTTTTAGCAACAGCAAGATGGTTGAAAATTTCGTCTTTATATTCAGAAAATCTTCTACATAAAGATGATGTACTTTCCATCTCTCGATTCATTTCTTCAGCTTCTTTCCTTTCTTTCTCCACTTCTTCACGTACTTTATTACGAATTTCTTTTAATTCTGCCAAACGAACTTCTTTTTCTTCACGACTTTTTTTACTATCTTCCAAACATGTTTTATATTTTTCTATTGATGTTTGTTGTCGAGATACGGCTTGTTGAATGTCATACATTTCAAGGCCTTTTTGTTCACGTTTTTTGTTAACTTCTTTGTTGGATATTTTCTATAGAATTTCAAAAAAATTTTTGTAACATTTGTCTCTAGAATAAAAAAATCATTACTTACAAGTTCATCAATTTCTTTTGATAATTTTTCATTGATTTTCAAAAGATGATTTCTCAGTGCATCTTGAAAACGTTTCATTAAAGGATCATCAGGATCCAGAACCTTCAGAGATTCTTCAGGTTCTTCATTTTCACTCCACATCTTCATCTCAGTTTCATAAGAATTATTTTCTTTATAATGAAAATTGTGTGTCTCTATGGAAGTCATTATAAAGATTTTTTTTTTCACCTACTTCTAGACAATATTAGTAAAACAATGTGCTTGCTTGCAAAATTTCAAAGAATGTACTGAACCTACAACTAAGGATGTATATATGATTCATATCGTTGCTATAGAGACGTATTGGCGATCGACTGAAAGCAGCTGTGATTATTATGCACCTGTCTTTATTATTTTTATAGACAATTGTTAAGGAATCAAAAAATGTCATTAAAAAAAAGTACATAATGATCAATTATTAGGATTGAAGTTTCTAAGTATAATAAAATTAATTAATATTAAACAACTCTACTCAATAAATTCGTTTTATGTTGACATAATTTAGCTATAACTAATTCTTGAATAGTTATTGTTATTATTATCTTATTGGTTTTATTTTACGAGTCTAGTTTGTTGTTCCGTATTGCTGCACTTCGACTCCTCGAAAGCATTTTAAAGTTCTAAATGTCAGTATACAAGATTGAAACAATATCAGAGTATCAAAGCCTATGAATAGTGAAGCAATAGAATAATTATTTTTTAAACTCAGACACAGTTGAATATTATGATTATGTATTCATTAATACAATAAAAATTTAACTTGAAAAATTGACTTAGTAATGCTATCTTTTTTCTATTACATCCCAACTTCCGAATTTTTTTATAAGACACGTTTTTTTTACTCTTACAATTAGATCACCTTAAATGACATGCATTATCATAAAAGGTGAAAGTGAATATCTTTTGTAACATATTATTATCTTACAAATTTTTATTAGCTGTTAAGATAACTATTTCATATGAAAAGATGTTTTATGTCTTCTTGAATATTTTTATTTTATTAGAAATTATTTTAGAAGTGTTTGGAATATTTAGGTGCGAAATATTTAATTATTTTTGTAAGACCAACACCAGAAGAAGAACTTTAAATGAATAATGACCAGGTATGGAATACAATGAACTTTGATGTAATTAATAGTGTATAAGGTAACTCTATTTCCTTCGAGATTAAACAAATACCTTATACTCGTAATAAGAATAAGTTTTGTATTATTATCTTATATGTCTAATAAGAACCGTGTGAAAGTAATCTTAATAAACAGAACTTTATAGATTATACAATTTAATCAAGACATGATTCATACTGATTAATATTAATCCTTACAAAGTCGTGCATTTGAATAGTTTAATCGTTTGAATCATAACTTATCTTAGTGTGATCAATACTATTTTCACTATTTTGATTTTTTTTTTACAAAAGAAAGTAAAAGTCTTAGAATTAGTATCAAACAATCGCTCAGAACTTTAAGTTACATTTTACTTTACACTCGAATAACATTTCATTCTACTCTAAATACATAACAAATTTCAATCAATTCTGATTATGATTTTTCTATTATTATTTAATGATGACAACTAACTTTTTATTTAAATAATTTTTTTTTATTTTTTACAGGTAAAAATAATAGTCAAATATAAAAGAGATTTCGGTCATCGAATTAATTGGAATTTTCATGGATTGATGACTAGATAAAAATGGTCTTTTGTATGTTTTATGTGCTTTTAATCTTCATTTTCCTTTCGCTTTCTATTAAAGTGAATAATATTTTTGTTTTGATACAAATTTTAGTAGTAAACTTATTAGATAATATGATTGCAAATCATCATTTATCCTATTACAAATTAATTGGATGCAATGTTATTAATTGGAAATATGATAAACGTAAAGAAAATATTGGAAATATTAATTATTGATTATTTAATAATAATTGATCTTAATAAAATAAAAAATAGAGGTCCATGAACAATCTCTTCCGTAGATTCCTTATAATGCCGAACTGGACCAACGAGACTATAAAAGCTCTAAGGCATAACAAGTTACCTATCAGTTCATAGTTGTTTGCTTCACGAGAAAGGACAGACGTCTATTCTCTTATTACGTCTGCCAGAACGAGTTTTAATAAATAATAATTGGTGAGTAGTGCCTTTTTTTTAATATCCCAACTTTTATTTTCTAATGCTTTACTATTTTTATTAAACACTTTTTTCATCATCATTGATAGTTTACAATCAATTATTCGTAACTTCTAAGTAGAACCATCATGTGAATAAATTTAACTTGCGAACAAATTGAATTTGTCCAACTATAAATTACTAAATCAAACATTGAAATATTTCTAACTAAAATTTGTTTTAATTAATGAGCTAAACTTGATATGAAATCAAGTTTTTCCAAGTTTCAATCAATTTAATTCAGAAAAACAGAATTTTTAATTGAAATTCTTTAACTTTTTTCTTGTTTTCAGGAATAGATAGAAAAATGTTGTTACTTAATAATTATTGCAAACTGTAAAGACATTCCATCATAATCCAATTACCTACATAATTTCTACACATTTTTTTTTTATTATTAACTTGAATTTTATGGCTATTTTCTCTTCTACTCCTTTCAACATATTTTTAATAAATTGTTGGTGATGAAGGTCGATATCAATCCTTCAGGCGTTTCGTTAACACAAATACGAGAAGTGTTTATGATATTTTTTCCACTACATTGAATATAAATAGATATTACAAGCTCGGCCGTTTATGTTATATATCATGGAATTAAAAAAAAATTAAGTTGACCATTTACTCTCGCTGTAGACGCTTTTAGAGCGCAACGAAACGAGAATTGCAAATGTACATATGCGTTCGAATAAACGTGTCAGCAAACCGTGGGCTTGTTTATAGGATATGGGTAAAGATAAAGATAAGTTTCGCCTGCAAATAAAGGATATAGTCACGATCAGCACGAGTTACGTACTTGGGGCGATAAATGAACGCCAGCTAGAGTGCTCATACTGTCACTTAGAATGGCTTAGAATGGACCTAAAGCAGTGACTCCCACAATTGTTGCAGTTCCATTATATCATAAAAATTGTCCGGGCGTGGTCGAAGACAAGATCAATCGACTCTAAGTAGTTCTCAATAATCCTTAAACTATTGGTATTACATTTAAATTAAAGGTCTTTGTTCTTATAAATGAGTTCATTCGTTTTTCAATTTATTTTTTCAGATAAGTAGTGATAGTTATCACAATAAGATATTTCTATGATTAAAAAATATTTAAACATTAAAAAAATTTTTATAAAAAATTATAGAAATGGTTACTTGAAAATGTATAAATGATCATAAAAAGCTTTCAAGGATAAAAGTCAATATTATGCAACTATTGATTATTATTGAGTTGAAAAAAATTTGATAAATGAAGGGACGTTCAGGCAATTAAACAAATGAAAGTGGACTTCAATTCTTGAATATTCAATGTCGATTACTTATACCACAAAATTCTAAACAAGTAATCAACCGCTCCCCCTTTCTCATAGATATTGCGTCAGGATCATGAACATGATACCAATTACGCATGACTAGGTTTGCTTTCAACGCTTACAGAGTCTCGATAACAATTCAGAAAAAAAACTCTCACAAATCGGTCACGAATAACGAGTGATATTCGTGAATATTACGATGGTGTAAAAGTAAAACAATGTTACTTACTTATCATTTAAATCGATTACGGAAACATCTCTCTTTTGGCATAATTGATTTTTGTCGCTCAACAGATTGAATCTACTTCGAACATGGGTTTCAGATGATTGATCATGCGGTTGTCGCCTTTTTTAGAGAAATTTGCTGAAGATTCTGTGAAACTCTTCCGGCATGACAGGTCTTTTTGATTTCTAAATCACATCAATTCATTAGATTAATTTTATTTTAAATTTGATTTGATTCTAATTTATTTATATTAAATTAGTGTATATTTATATTTTTTTTGTTGCAGAATTTGCCATAAGAAATCTCAAAAATGAATATTCTTCTAATTCTTGTGGTGTGCGTGAGTTTTGCTGCATCAAGCCCAGCTGGACAATCTCCTAAAGATGCTCGAAAGACTAGAGGATTTGTCTATGATGATGCCTCATTAGGACTTTTACATACTGCAATAGCTCCAAGATTAGACAGTTATCCAGCACCTTCTTCTCATGGACATCACAAGACAGGTTTCAGCGTAGGAGGTGGATTAGTCTCGATCGCTCGCGGTGCTGCTGATCAAGCACGTACTCAAGTAGCTAACCAACACTCTGCTGCCAAGCAAGCAGCCTACACTGCCAAGAATACTTTAGCTCAAGCTGCGGCTCAATCTGCTGCTACGGCAGCTGCGGCTCTTGCTGGAAAACAAATTATCCTTTCTGGATTGGAACAACAATCACGAGATGCTCATGTTGCTGTTGATGGTGAGAAAATGCAACTTCAACAAGCTTCACGAGCTGCTGCTGCAGCAAGAAATGCTGCTCAACAAGCTATGCATCAAGTTCAAGTTATCACAGCTGCATTGAATGCTGCTCAAGCCACTTCTGATCATGCTGCACAAGCAGCTGCTGAAGCTGCTGCTGAACTCGCTGCTCAAACCACGATGTTGGGTCAAGCTAAAGCACGTGCCCAAACTATCGATGAACAACTTGCTGCAGCTCGTATTGACTTTGCTGCTACTCAATCAGCATCTGATAAAGCTGCTGCTGCTGCTCAATTAGCTCAAAATAATGCTGCCGCTGCTGCTGCTCATGCCTCCGAAAGCGCTGCAACTTCTGCTCCACTTCCAACTGTTGCTGAAGAAGAAGATGGTCCTCACGCTGCTCTTGTAGTTGACAGTGCTGAAGAACCAAACCATGGAGCAAGCTTCCAAGCAGTCAACTATGCTGATGATCATTCTGATGAAGCTTATATTCCTCAACAAAACGCTGTCAACCATGCTCATGGTGATTATGCCTACAATGACAACTACGACTACAAAGGATATTATTGAATGTACAAATAATTTGTTTAATGTAAACTTTTTGTAAAGGATTTTATTAAAATTAATAAAACATCTCCGTGAATCATTTTATACCTATTTTCTTATAATATATTTTTAAAGAGAAATAATAAATTATATTTCAGATTCACTGAAACAATTTAAATTCAAAGAAATTTTATTAATGATACTAAAAATTTGAGTTTTGTGTACTTTATTTTAATTGTTGACCTAACTGGAAGATAGGTGTAAAAAAAATATCTTTGTAAGATAAAATGTTAAAATCTTTCCTTTTTTGCTCCGAAAATGTCTTATGTTAGCTTGATTATTGTATTTTAAAAATAATCTGAATAATATCTTTGTAAATATCTAATAATACAATATAAAATAATGAAAACCTAATAATTAAATTTAATTAACAAGCCATTTGATAGCTTCATAGCTTTGATGAACGTCTTTGAATGGGAAATTGGTCAGCCCATCAAAAGTAAACTAGTAGAGACATCACGTTGTCAAAGTATGTACTAACAATTTTAACAATCCAAATCAAGTCTTTTTGGAGTTCTCTGTAGTATAGTTTTCTTTCAAACAAGTGTACACGATACTTGGTGTGAAAATTTTTCACTTTTGCTACAAAACATAACCTAAACTATTGACGTTGTCAATTAAAATTTATAAAATAAATTCTTACTTTATCTTTTAATTGAAAATATCTTCATCATGAGTAAAGCACATTTACCTGAATTGAAAAAGTGAGTATTTCCATCATTTAGAGGTTCTGTTTATGCTCAATAATTCACTAAAGATATGTATACAAACACCGGTGAACTGATTCATTTTAAAATATCTTTTTTAATTTTCAGTAATTATTTTTTGTTTTCTTTTGACAGTATTAAACAAAAAGTCTCTTAATAATAAAATCCACATTCTGAATAATCTCTGTTGAGAATTTTTATTTTTTGGAGCATTGTTACAGTGTTTAGACTATCATAACATAATAAGAATATGAATAATATATTTTTCATTAAATTAATTTCTATTCTTTTGTTTCAGGTATATGGATAAAAAATTATCCTGTAAGTATTATTATAAAAACTATATTTTCTTTGCATGTAGTAAATTTTAGGCTAAGAATAATGGTTATTTTACTCCAATTTTTTAAAAATCCAATTCGCAAGTAAATTTAATATAACTTCAAAAAATTTATGCTCCAATAATTAAAATAATGAAAAAATAATCTATCTTTAGTAAAATTGAACGGAGGAAGGCATGTGATTGGCATACTCCGAGGATTCGATCCTTTCATGAACATGGTAATAGATGAAAGTATTGAGGAATGTAAAGATGGTTCCAAAAATAACATTGGCATGGTGGTAAGTTAAATTTAATACTAGAAAGTTTTCTGTTAAGTTAATAAAAATAAAAATGGTCTAGTTTAAACTTTCATTCTTTCAGGTAATAAGAGGAAATAGCGTTATAATGTTTGAAGCATTGGATCGAACCTAACTGCTACCAAATAATTGAGTTAATAAATTAATTAAGAATCAAATGTCATCTAATTCAACCATGCATAAGCTTACATTGTAAAAAGTCTTTACAGGTTTTACTCTATTTTTTTATTTCATTATTGTAGTCAAACCTCAGTTATTTCTGTGCATTCTGTCAATAAGAAAAATGTTTGATAAATTATAGTTTGCAGTCAAGAAATTGTAGAGTATGAAGATGGTAATTTTTTTTACCTAAAACTTATGAGAGATGAAAAATCAATAAGTTCATTAAACTAATAAAAATACTTTATTACTCATCTAAATTATCTCAAGTATTTCTCTTCATGATTATTACTTGATTTATTGGAATCGAATTTATTAATATATTACTTTGACTTGATCAATTAATTTTTTTTAAAATTAATAAAATATCAGTATAACATATTAATTTTTTCAATAACTAAAAACAATTTAAAAATAATCAAATGAAAAAAAAAGAAATAGTTTGTAATTTAGTCACTGGTGGCGCATCCTCATATCGAATTGAATTGAAGTATTATATTGCCCATCTCAACGTTTTCATAATCATAGTGTATTTATTGGAACCAACTATTGTCGTCCCTCTTTTCCGGCGACGGACAATTATGACGGGCTTCAGTGAAAAGGTATGCTACTTGATATTAATATTTTAAGAGTATTTGCACCATTGGAGAGATATTTGGTGATTGATATATGAATTTATAATTTTTTTTCATAAATTGTTAATACCCAAAACAAACTAATTCGTTGACAATTCTGTGTTAATAATAATATGTTGGTATTCCACGTGTTTCGAGAATTCATTTTTTCTCGTAAATTAAAGTATTGTCATAATTAGTATTGTTATTATAATAATATTGTAATATTCACTATCAATTCTATGATTTCAAGTTTAACAGAAATTTTGATCTCAATTAACTGAAAAATATGAAAATTCATAATCGTTAGTAAATTGAGGTTAGACGCGGTGTTTGTTCGTCATATTTCTACAATTTTCGTCTTGTACTATACACAATACTACATGATCTCTGTTGAGTAATCTTATGCATTTTCTACTTAAAATTTTTTTCAGTCATTTTTTAATATTTTGTTCATAAAAACAGTATAATTTATAACAAACAATTGAATTTTTACTTATAATTATGTCAAGATTTTAATTTGAAAGTAATCCTGGGTAACAATCTTTTTTTGTTTTCATATTTATAATATAAATAAATTTATCTGTGCACATATAATAGTTTTATTTTTTTCATAAATTTTCAGCCGATTTTAATAGACGGCCGTGGCCACTTACTCGGTCGCTTAGCGGCTGTAGTAGCGAAAACAATTCTCCAAGGAAATCGAGTAATTGTTATACGATGTGAACAATTAAACATCTCTGGAAATTTTTTCAGGTATAATTCCAATATTTAATTAGTTATTTGCTATTAAAAATTTTCAAAGTACATTTTATTCAATTAAAAAATGATTATATACAAACTTACCTACATTATATGAATGCTATGATTAAGTTTTTTTAAATGATAATTATCTCAATTTTCAAAATAATTTATTATTTATAATTTTATATTCTACATCATTACTACATTCATTTTTCAGAAATAAATTGAAGTTTATGTCATTTCTCCGAAAGAGATGTAATGTCAACCCAGCACGTGGACCTTTCCATTTCCGGGCACCTAGTAAAATTCTATGGAAAACTGTGAGAGGTGAATATTATAATAAAATAACAAGAATATTCTGAATAGAAGTACATACTGTTTTATACAGGCATGATTCCACACAAAACTAAACGTGGTAAGGAGGCGTTACGAAGACTTAAGGTGTACGAAGGATGTCCTCCTCCATACGACCGCAGAAAGAGTGTTGTTGTTCCGGGGGCTATGAAAATTATCTGCTTAAAACCCGGAAGGAAGGTAATACTAAAAAGCCCATAAAATACACTTTTACATTTATTATTAATTATGAAACTTAAAAATTAACATTTTACATGATGGTATGGTAATTTGCGTCTGATATTACTCTTTGAGTAAAATGGTGACAATATTTAACTGATAATAATCAAGTATAATAAATATTTGAATAGAATGAATTCCAAGAATTATTTATAATATTTTTGTGTATTTCAGTACTGTCATGTGGGTCGCTTGTCTCATGAAGTTGGATGGAAGTATAAATCCGTTGTACGGGTTCTAGAAAATAAGCGTAAAGTCAAGACTATCATGGGAATACAAAAACGAGATAAACTTAAGGTATGTACAAATATTCATTTGATACTTTTGCTAATTTTTATGATAATTAATAAATAATTTTTGTTGTAGAAACTTACAAAACAAGCTGGAGAAAAAGTGGCTAAGATTACTGCTCCATATACTAAAATCATCAATGATTATGGATATAACTAAAAATGTATCGTATGGATTAATAAAATTCAAATTTCTATATTGAAATGATTTATTTTATACAATAAAATATATCTTATATTAACAATTATCTCTTTTTATACATTAGATTTATATTAAAAAATTTTCTAATCATCATCGTTTTCGTGTTCAAAATCTTGCTCATCTTCAGATATATTTTCTGTTGATTCAACCTCTTGATTTGATGAACATAAATCATTATCATCAGTTCTTGCATCAGTTAATACTTCTAGTGTATGTACAGCATTACTTGCACTAAGCCGTTCGATGGCATGCTTTATTTTAATTTCCTAATTTTCAAAGTAACAATATGAGTACATCCCAATTACAGGATATAATAAAGCAAAGATGTGCATTCATAATATAATTTTACCTGGATTTTTTCATTATATTCTTCTTCTACTTTTATAGACTCATTCAAGTCTAAGAATTTGATGGCTATACTTGAATTAGATGTTTGATTAATTCCTGGATCATTTTTTTTGTTCTTACTTCCACTTTTAATTGATTTATGTGGTTTGAATGGTTCTTTTTTTGAAGGACTTTGGTTTTCATTTGTTGTTTTTTTTATCAGTTTTCTCGTACATTCGGGATATTTTGAACTCTCTTCCTCTGATAATGTCTCTGTAGAGCTAGTGTTTTCGCGTAACTTTATTGAAGTATCATTTTTTTCTTTCTTACAATTACCCAGACCTGCAGACTATTTATATTACTACGTAAATATAAGAATATTTCTACCAGAATACATGTATATTATTTGTTTAGATACGTATATAAACATAAATTTATATAAGACGTCTTTCTCTAGATTACATCACATGTCATTGATTTAATTTCTAAATTGTCATTCAATCCAATAGGTACTTACCTCTGACAAAATTTTTAATACATCTGTTTCATCATTTTCTACATCATTTGAAGTTAAATGATTATGAAAATTTCTTTTCCATTCTAATTCTTCTACGACATGTTTATCTGCTGAAATATTAAGGGCCGACATAAGCTCGTTCGATCGAATAATTTCATTGCGAAGATGTATTTCATTCTCAATTTTAGTACGAAATGTGAGTATTTTTTCGCCTTTATCTGGCAATAATTTGAGAAATTTTCTGTACACAGAAATAATTAGAAGTGTTTACCATGATGTCATTCAAAATGATAAATATTATAGTTGAACTTACTTGTTTTTTAAAATGGCATCTTGCCGTTCTAAAAGATCTTGTAATTCTATTAAACTTTTATTGTTCAAATTAACAGGACCATCATTGTTTCTTGTATTAATTTTTGTATCTATTGTTAATTGTGAAATGTTTGCGCACATTTTTTAATGAATAGATATGAACTGCGTTCCAAAATGAAGCAGATGTCGCGATGATCATTACGACTATTGGCTGTTATTTTTATACCTATATTCAAGTGTATCTTTGATTTTATGATGGTAGCTTCCATGAGTACCATGTGTCTTTTATCCTTTTTCTGCTTCAAGAAAATGTTAACAGGAAAAGAAAGATAAAAAACTTATTAAATTTGTTCTTTCTATGACAATTGATTCATAACAATTATTACAACAAAACTTGTCTAAATTTACGTAAAAATGAGCAATCGAATTAGATGTTTAATTCAAAAAAAGGTATTTATTTTCATTTTGATTTTATATCACATCAATTTGTCTAAGATAACTTAAAAATATCAGACGAAATTTTTGTATTAAATAATTAACTCCAAAACAAAGTAAATTATTTCTTATATTGGAATACAAATATAGTCAAGTATACAATGCTATTCGCATTTTAAACATAAACGAAAGGTATTCTGAGCATTCTTTTTGTAAACAAAATTTAGATCATGGTTTAATTTCTTTAACTCCTATTGATTAAGTATCATAACTGAATGAATTAGCTATTTGATTATTTTTTAATTATTTATATTAATTATAAAAATTATTATAATTATTTTTTATTATAGGTCACTGCAACTTTTAACATCCCAAAGTCAGCTGTATTTTCACATCTCTACTTTCATTTTGATATTAAAAGAAAAGTATTTTCTTTCGAATTACCTCTTAAAACCAGATCATTTGATGTCAAAGTTGAAAATATAAAATCATTTCAACCAGCATCTTTGAAAGAGGAGTCAAACAATTTGATAAAAGATGTCTGCATTAAAGAAAAAAATAATATTCATACTCTCTCTATTATCATGGATAGAAGTAACTTGGTAAAAGAAATTTTAGAATCGAATATATCATCTGTTTCTCCGCCGTCATTAAGTTCTGAAGTTGAGAAAGTTATTGTAGAATTCAGTTCACCAAATATAGCAAAACCTTTTCATATTGGTCATTTACGATCAACAATAATTGGGAATTACATTGCAAATATACATAGTTATTTAAACAACAATGTCATTAAATTAAATTATTTAGGTGATTGGGGAACGCAATTAGGATTATTGCAATTGGGAAGTGATGCTCTAAACATCGATCTTAAAAATTTGAAAATAAATCCTTTACAAGAATTGTACCGTGCTTATGTACATGCCAATAAATTATTAGAGGCTGATCCAAGTATTCAGGAGCAAGCTCGAAAAATTTTCAGTAAAACAGAACACGGAGACACTAATTTTTTAGAGCAATGGAATTTATTTAAAAAATATACCATACCACAATTAGAGCAAATTTACAAGCGACTTGGAGTTAAGTTTGATGAATATCATTGGGAGTCAAACTATTCTTTGAAAAATTCTCCACAAACAATTGAATTGATTAAAAAATCCGGTGTTTTAAAAAAAGATGGGGAAAGACGACAAGTAGTTGAAATAGGAGAAAGAATAATCCCAATATTTAAAAGTGATGGATCAACTTTGTACTTATACAGAGACATTGCTGCTGCAATTGATAGGGCTAATAAATATAATTTTGATAAAATGTTATATGTGGTTGATAATTCACAACATGATCACTTTAACTGCCTTTTTGAAATTTTACAAAGAATGAAGATTCCATGGGTAAATAAACTTCAACATATAAAATTTGGAAAAATCTATGGCATGAGTACTAGACAAGGGACAGGTATATTTTTAACTGATCTTCTAGATGAAGCAAACAACATATTAAAGAAAAAACAATTAGACTCATCTAGTGAGTTGAATACAAAAAATATCTACTTCATAAATACTAATAAACTGCAAAAAAATCTATTTATTATGTTTTTATTTATGTAATGTTTCAGAAACTAAAGTAATTCCAGATATGAATGATAATAGTTCAGATATTTTAGGATTATCTGCAATAATAATTTATGAATTAAAGCAACGTCGTCAACGTGATTATAAATTTAGTTGGGATGTGGCACTAGATGTAAATAGTATATTTTTATACTTATTATTGGCTATGTTTAAGATAAAAAATTTAAAAGTAAATAATAATTGAAAAATTCTGTGATTTAGATGAAAGGAGAGACTGGAATTAAACTACAGTATACTCACTGTCGATTACATAATTTGAAAGAAAATTGTGGAGTTCATTTGAGAAAAGAATGTAATCCTTCCGTATTGGAAGAACCTATTATAGATGAATTAATTTCATTAATATGTAAATTCGATGATATAATTTTATTTTCTTTTGAAACATTGGAGGCTTGTTATTTAGCCAAATATCTCTTTCATTTAAGGTAGTATTGGTCGATTAGTAAAATTTATAATTATGTTTTTTAATAGCTGAATTTATATATTCTATCATTTTTTGTAGTCATATAACAAACAAAGCTTTGGAACAACTGCGTGTAAAAGATCAACCAGAGGACATTGCAACACAGCGTCTTTTGCTATTTCAAGTGGCAAAGAATATTTTAAATACAGGAATGAAATTACTCTGTTTAACACCTCTAAATAAGATGTAACATCTCCATTTATTTATCATAATTATTTAGAAATGTAAAACATTTTTACGAATTTTATAAATTTTAATTTATATAGTAAATTACGTTACATTACGATAAAAATCATAAATGTTATTTTAACGTTTTCTCCACGTAAATCCACGTCGTTTACCTTCTTTACCAGGCTTTTTCCTTTCTCGCTTTCTCCAATCTCGTGTTAATAATCCAGCTAAAATAATGAAATTTTTTTTAACTTCACGGTTAATATGCAGTATTCACAATAAAATTAATTTAAAAAAGTTGAACATTAACAACTTGGGAATTATCATTAAAATACTTTCGTACCAATTCTCATTTTTTCAATCATTTTTGGTTCAACAAAGCTTCGTAAAGCCCAAGCAATACCCCAGCGAATCAGAGATGCATATCCTGAATCACCACCTGCAGTATCAAAAGATACTTCAACATCTACACTATTTTCCATTCCAGTGAAAATTAGAGGAAATATTATCTGTAACAATAATTTAAAAGTCATTACAAAATATTTGAAAAAAACCATAATATAGAATTGAAATAAAAACTTACTTGTTCTCGATGTTGTTTACGTTTGAAAAATGTAATATCTTTTCCATCACCAATTTTGAATTGTCCTGATCCATTACCCAAAACTTTCACACTTCCAGTTGTTAAAAATTTTTGAGCCCCTAAAATATGAATATTTTTATTAACGTATTACATATTGGCTATATTCAACATTAATGAGTTTGTTCGTAAATGTCATAATATATAAACTTACATTTGACTTCTACAAATGGACGTCCCGTACTATCATATTCCAACTAAAATAATAAATATAGAATGATACTGTATGATACAAAAGCTATAGTGAACTACGGTCTCTTTCAACTACGTTTTTTTGCAAATCCAATTATATTAACGTTATTGATGAAAACTTACCGGAGGAATAACTAATGTATCCTTGAAATTACTTTTTTTTAATCTGTATTCCATTATAAAATTACTGACATTTGACGAATAAGGATGATCAATCAATCTTTGCAAAGCCGCAATAAACATTTCATACTAAAATGAAATTGAAACATCTATTTTAATCAATGAATGCTTATGAATATAAAATTATCAATTATTCTCTAAAAGAGATTCTCAAAATTACAGGATTTTACTTACATCTTTTTCTTTTAGAGGTTCTAAAAATTTAGTCTCTAGAATAGGTTGCGTTAACCAATCGGATCCAAATGTGTCGCTAAAAGAATGAGTTCATTAATAAACTAAAAATATATCGAAACCCTAGATTTTTTTCAGTTGAAAATATAAAAAATTATAAATGCAATGCTCACAATTTACTTTTCTCATTTGGTAAAATACCGTTTCGAAGTTGCTGGTCCTGATATTGATTTAAAGTTTCTAATTTTTCAACAATATCCTGCAAAAAGTCAAATTTATTGAGATAAAAATTATAATATTGACAATGTGTAAATCTACTGTATCACATACTTACATAAAGAACCGAATAAAAATTAGGTTTCATAGTATAAAATAGAGAATGGTATGGCCGACCTGTGTGATCGAATTGCGCAGCTTTTTTTGGTGGAAAAATTCTCTCAGGTGCATCCATTATAGGACGTGCAGCTTTAGCATATAAACCAGATGGGAATAGATATTCTATAGCATTCTGAAATTTATAAAAATCAAATATCGATCAAATATTAGAATATAATAGATATAAAATCGATTATTTACGTTGATATCTTCTTGTGTAAACGTATTTGGATCTTCTCCCATCATATTAGCCAAATGTCTTTTTCCTATCAAATATTCTTCATTTTCACGTTTCATAAATTCATCTAAAAATATAATATATTTTCTACGTATTTTCAAATTATAACAGTGGTAAATTACTGGGTTTGTAATTTTTTGATTACAAGGAAGAATCATTGTACAAACCGTATTCCTGAGCACGTTTTAAATAAGCTTTCATAGCATTGCTCATTTTTTGTTTAGGTTTTTTCTCATTAGCTTCAGTTATAACAGTTATCATATCTTGAGTCAACCCATTTGGAGGAACTACATGTTGCTAAAAAACAAAAACATCAAAATAATTATGGAGTGTTAATCAACCAAAAACAATTATTACTTCGAATGTCAATGATGTACCGATCAGTATTACTGACTTTACGTTTGTTAATGACAATTAATCCAATTTCGTAAAAAATTATTAAATTTGAGAAGAGGTTACTTTTTTTCTATGAGTTCTAGTTATCAAATCATTCAATAAAAACTTGATAGTTTCTCTTAAAGATAAATATGGATATATATTAAACTAAAAACATAATTTTAATTACCTGTTGTTTAACAGATGAACTATTTGAAGATGTTCTAGCTAAAATATCGAATTTTTTACCATTGAAATGTTGGCGTAATATTGTATAAGACATACGAAACATCATTGTTTGCGTTATTTATATGAGAATATTTATCAAATATTAGCTATTGTTGACAAACTAAAAAATCATTAATACTTTAAATAACAAACATTCTCTGAATCATGCGTGCTCCTATTAAAGGAAATACCGCATGACACTCATCCTTTTCGAACTATGCACTGATTGGATAAAATATGCTCTTTTAACCACAGACTACACAAAATCATGTGCTATGAAAAGCAGCGCTCAAGACTGGCACCCAGATGGTATTCTTTGATTCTCCAATCGAGAATATTTGAGGATTAAGCTGAATTGGAAAAACTCCAAAATTCTCAATTACAGTAGGGCCTCGGTAATCCGGACTTACTTACTGTTTATCTTATGTATGGTTACTTTTAATTATGTAGGTACATACATATTTTGTAAAACTTAGGTTAAACATGTGTTTTATTGCCATTAAATATGGCATACTATAATCCAGACGCCTCGATAATCCAGAAAGGGTCTTGTTTTTGTTTTGCCTCTTCGGATTACCGAGGCCCTACTGTATATACCAAGTACTACATATAAAAGTACTAATTATGACCTGAAAAAAAGTTTGGAGACGTAAAATAATTTCTTTCATGATTAATAGAAAGTCCTTCGGAAATATACAATTGATTATTTTTCCAAAAATAATACTGTGATTATGATAGAGTGCGTCTGACATAACAGGTAAATCTATTCGAGATTCGGAAACAAACAATTGTTCCAGTCATGCCTACATGTCATTCTGCACCTGTACATTTTCTACTCATTTTATTTTATTATAAAAAATTCATAAATGTATAGACAAATATTCTTTTTTTAATCCAATAAAAATGTTTTTGCATCCTTGAAAGCTATCTGAAATCATCGTAAATCGACCAGGTTAGAATATAAACAAAAGAAGAAAGCGTCTATCCTTTACACACAGAATGATTTAAAAGTTACTGTTTAGGTATGCTTCTAATGTATACAATAACATGACACAGGCACGTATGTATACAGCCCAGTTCTATGCCATCACTCTTTCTACCAATGACGTTTAATAGTTCAACATGCAACGAATGGCAGCTCAAGTATGTAATGGTGGTATATAGTGCAGTGTCAATGTTACAGTATATTACATCGCGAATCTTTTTTATATTAATTGTGATACTTGTCATTTAAAATACATGAAAATGTATAATATAAAAATTTGGAAAGTGAGCAATAGAAATTGTCAATTTTTTATATTTTTACTAAATTTTCTACATGCCTAAATATGCATTGAATATTTTATTTACGGATATGTTTTAACAGTGAGTGGAGATAAGAGATAAGCATAAAGAACTAATTAATGCGCTCTACAGCGCCGTCTGTTGGAGATTATATCGAGTTATCGACTCTTCTATATTCGATTGTCGAGAAAAATATGTGAATCGACAGCTCTCGAAAGTAAATTATCCGAGAATTTCGTTGCGCGTGTGTAAATCTGCAGCTCATCAACGGGTTTGCAGTTCTATTTACCATTTTAAAAAATGCCGATTCTTAGTTCAAAGTGTTAAATGTGTGTAAACAATGTCGAATCCCGGCGGTAGCAGGAGGAACGGAGCAACTAAAATACGTCTTACAAGTAAGTTTATTAGAGGGAAAGGGCAACAGGAAGAGGTAACAATTCGTTGAATAGAGTGCCTTTGAGTAGACTGTGAAAGTTGTTTTATCCTAAATGCATCAAAAACTATGCATCCAACTGCTTTATTTTACCCCACAATTTATCTTTTATTATGATTTCTTCATCAGATAATTATTCTAACTGTCCACTTTTGACGCTAATAATACTTCAAATCATCAGATTCTGTAGACATCATCTTCTAGTCGGGAACTGGTTGATGATATGTTCAATTGAAAATCTCGATTGGCTAGACTGTATCTTTCTTTTACATGCATTTATCGTCATTCTTTGGTTATGACCAAAGAGTCCCTGTCAAAAAGTCTACCGTTCATGTTTTCAAATTTAATATGTAAAAACAGAAGACGTTTAGCTGAATTAGTTGATTTCATAGATGCGGAAAAAAAAGAAAACAAAGCTAATTTGATCTCATTCTGGGAGCATGAATTCATTAACTTCTATTTAATTTTATAGTCTTACTTAATCTAAGCTTCAAAGAAAAAAATGAATTACTTCAATAGAATATATTTTGTATAATACTTGTTTATTTTTATTTTAAATCTAATCGTAGAGAGATTCAATTTATTAGAATGTAATAAAAACATTTAATAACCATTTATAAATGTTAAATGAATTTATTTATTACAGTTCTGTGTGCTCGAAATTTAGCTAGGAAAGACTTATTTCGTAAGTATTTGGAATTTTTACCATCATTCATTTTGTTTCAAGATTATTTTATTAAATGATTATTATGTTTTTCAGGCCTTCCAGATCCATTCGCTAAAATTACTGTGGACGGTTCTGGTCAATGTTTTAGTACAGATACTTGCAAAGCAACTTTAGATCCCAAATGGAATCAGCATTATGATCTGTGAGCATAATATTTACATAAAATTCGTAAATACTTAATTAACAGTTGTTAAAATCAAATGACATTTTATTCTAGATACATTGGAAAAAACGATGGAATTACTATCTCCGTGTGGAATCATAGAAAAATTCATAAAAAACAAGGTGGTGGATTCCTCGGATGCGTTAGAATATTGTCCAATACAATTCAGAGGCTTAAAAATACAGGATGTAAGGATTTTACATTTAATTAAGTGGATAATAGGCAGATCAATAAATTACTACAATATATTATTTCTACAAGTTTAAATTGGCATCAATAATTTCTACCTTGAAATTGAGTTCTAAAATTTCGTCTTTATGATAATTTTACAAGTTTCATTGATTATTTTAAACGATTTTTGAATGGTCAATTTGAAAGCAGTAATTTAGACGATGTTTTGTTTTAGTTATCTATTGATTTGTTTACCTTATACGAAAATAGTAAACATGATTCATTGTTTTGTTTTTGAAATGATAACAAAAAATAATCTCATACTGTTTAGATCAACGTTTGGATCTTTGTAAAGCACACACGGATGACACAGATGTAATTAAAGGTCAAATAGTAGTGTCTTTATTGTCACGAGATGGGCATAATGGAGCAGTGAGTAATACAGTAGGCCATAATGCAGTAGTAGATGTACTCGGAGATTTAAGTTGTCCTAATGATTTACCCGATGGCTGGGAAGAAAGAAGAACTCAAAGTGGTCGACTCTATTACGTAAATCATTATACGAGAACAACTCAATGGATCCGTCCGACTTCTCGGTAAGTTATTGACCTACTTTTCAAATCATTCAAATTTCAATTTTTTTTGTTACTTTATTTCGTGCAATAAATATTCTCTTTTAGGCCAAACAATGGCATTATACCAACAACACCTGAACCTCCTGCCTTGCCTAATTCAGAACCAACGTCTCCAAGTAGCAGTGGATCACCCTCCAACACTCAGCCAGAGAGCTCACCACATAATAGAACACAAGAGACATGGTATAATGATGGAACACCTAGTAGAACATCCAGTAGAGATAGTTCAACACAAAATACACCAAGAAATACTCCTACTCAAAATCAAAATCAGCAAAATGCGCGAAGCACTACTCCACCTTCAGCTGGAAGAGATCGAAGAATATCTAGGAATAATGATGAACAAAATGCTAATCAGAGCATTAACGGTAGAGTCGATAGAAATCAAAATAATGGACAATTAAGAAGACCGGGCCGTTCAAATCGAAGTCGAAACAATGCTTTACCTGTCGGAGAACGAAGAAATGATAATCAACCCTTGGATCTACCGCGTGGTTACGGTAAGCAATAAACAATAAAATTTCTACCTTCTAAAAATATTTAAATTTTTGATTAACAAATTTCTAGTAAAGATTGAAAATTAGTAGATTTCATTTTTAACTTGTAGATAGTTAAATCTTCACTCATAAGAAACCGCATAAATTATGTTCAGCCACTGTGCAAACTAGTTTTTTTTTATTACATAATAACATATTGCTCTATCTTTAATAATCACACTATTGTATTTTTCGAGTGCTCAATTATCAAAACCAAAATTGTTTTTAAAAAAATGACGAAAATTCTACGCAATAAAAGTATTTTATTTACAAAATCTTTTATTTATAAAATCTTTGTCTATAGTTAGTAACTTATTGTTTATTTTTTAAAATTGAACAAACATCTCATGTAAATTTCACACTTGAACCGTGATTGTAATTTATGCATATTAAAAAGTTGTTTTCTTAATTGAACACGAATGTATGTCATTCATTCTAATTTAAACTTTAAAGAAGATTGATTTTCAATAGACTATTGATCACTAGTGATTATTCATTCTGATCTTCTTAGTTATCGAAATTGATTTCTAATATTCTTATTAAAAGATTAATTGAATATTAATCTTTTAATAATTCTTTGTTTTAGAAATGCGACAAACGCAACAAGGACAAGTTTATTTCTATCATGTAGCAAGTGGTGCTTCAACATGGCACGATCCTAGAATTCCACGAGATTTGCCAGCTAACGAAATAGCAAACGAGTTAGGACCTTTGCCAAGTGGATGGGAAATGCGACAAACTTCAAGTGGTCGTGTATACTTTGTTGATCACAATAACAGGACTACACAATTCACTGATCCTAGACTTTCGACTCAGATCATTAACAACTATCTTAAGAGACATAATATCAGTACCACGAACAATCAATCGTCCGGAAATACAGGTACGCCAAGGAATGACGTTTCTAATGAGACAACACCAGCGATTACAACTAATTCAAGTCCGGCTAATAGAACATGCAACACAAATAATAATACATTAACAGAAGAAAATACAACCCTTGCAACTGTACAAACGGTTTCGGACCTACCAAAGGAGTTAATGGAGAGTGAATTATTGCCTAAATATAAACGTGATCTTGTAGCTAAGCTTAAGTGCTTGAGGGCAGAGTTGAATGCTTTGCAACCTCAAAGCGGTCATTGTCGACTGGAAGTATCGAGAAACGAAATATTCGAGGAATCATACAGAATAATTATGAAAATGAGACCTAAAGACATGCGCAAGAGACTGATGGTTAAGTTTAGAGGAGAGGAAGGTTTAGATTATGGGGGAGTTGCTAGAGAATGGTTATATTTACTTTCTCATGAAATGTTAAATCCACAATATGGACTATTTCAATATTCTAGGGATGACAATTATACTCTTCAGATAAATCCTGATTCTGGTATTAATCCAGAACATCTTTCATACTTCCATTTTGCTGGTAGAATAATCGGCATAGCTGTTTTTCATGGGCATCATATTGATGGTGGATTTACTATGCCTTTTTATAAAATGCTATTGAATAAAGGAATTACTCTAAGTGATATTGAAGGAGTAGATCCTGAACTGCATAGAAGTCTAACGTGGATACTAGAAAATAGCATAGACGGAGTAATAGATGCAACGTTTTCTGTTGAGCATAGTAGTTTCGGAGTTTTAAGGAATCATGAATTGAAACCTGGTGGTAAAGATGTTTCTGTGACAGAAGAGAATAAAAGAGAATATGTTAAACTCTATGTTAACTATCGGTTTATGCGTGGTATTGAACAACAATTTTTAGCTCTTCAAAAGGGGTTCCATGAATTGATTCCTCCTCAATTATTGAGGCCTTTTGATGAGCGTGAATTAGAATTGGTAATTGGTGGACTGGGTACCATTGATATTAATGACTGGAAAATGCATACAAGACTAAAACATTGTACCCCAGATACACCTGTAGTTAAGTGGTTTTGGCAAATTGTTGAATCATATGGTGAAGAAATGCGAGCACGACTGCTTCAATTTGTTACTGGTAGTTCTCGAGTTCCATTGCAAGGATTTAAGGCTTTACAAGGTAAATAATTGTTACGTAACGATTTTTTTTTCTATTTATTTTAATTTCTATCACTTCAGTAAATCTAATCATAAACTACTTTATTATCAAAAGGGTCAACAGGTGCAGCTGGACCACGTCTATTTACAATTCATGCAGTCGACGCGCCTAGTGAAAATTTGCCGAAAGCTCACACATGCTTCAATAGAATAGATATTCCTCAAAGCTATCCTTGCTATCAAAAAATGTTAGATAAACTGACACAAGCAGTTGAAGAGACTTGTGGATTCGCTGTTGAATAAATTAGTAAGTGTCATTCGGTTAGCTAAGATTACGTTTTATTTGACTTCGATTTATTCTTCTGTAGATCCAAATGCATCGGAATATATTAAAAAACGTTGAAGAGAAGAAATAAAATTTAGTAATGAATAAACATTTGTCATGAGACTTATTAAGCAGTCACTTGGCTAATACAAGTTCGATATATAATATATTATATTGACTTCGTGATATAGCTGTAACTATCGGCCTAGTTGCTTGTATATTCTAAATTTAAAAGATATATCGAGAAAAATTCATTAAGTAGCAACAACCGATTGTCATATCATGAAAATCATAGTTATTATAAAAGAAACCAAAATTTTGGTTTCAAGATATTTTCGCAGCTCATATATTCAAGGTTATTACTTAGGGCTTGAAAAATTACTAGTTTTTATTGCTAGAAAAACATATCAATTTCTAAGAATAATTGAAAATTTAATGTCCCAATTATTTACTGGTTATTCGAGTAAATGTTTGTAGTATATAAAATTTTATCTAGATGAAGAAAAAATGAGTCAGTAATATAAATAAAGCCCTAAATTGTAAAAATTCGCGTGATATATGAAGGAAAACGTTTATATTGTGTACATTTATAAAAAAAAATTTGATTAAATAATAACCCTTTCTGTTCTTCGACACAAAATGTGTGCAATTGAAGGGTATATATTTAATAGGATGTAAATAATTTATTGAAGCTCAGAAATATTGAAATTTAATCATAAGGTGACCAAGATAACAACAAACATGGTTCCAATTTTGGGGAGGTAAAAGAGGTTTGAGCATAACTAAATGAAGGAATATATAAATGAATAAAAAATTAGGGAAAAAAAGTACTAAAAAAACACCATAGGTATATTATTATATCTTAGTCGTAATTTTCTCTATAAGTTGTATTTAAAATAAAAAAATGATTCCAGTCGATGGAATATAGAGCAATAGTTTAATTAAGCTGAAAAATAAAATTTTTAATTATATCAAGTATTTTGTCTTAAGTATGAACACAATGAATTAATTACATTCAATTCTAAAATTGATAATAATTATAACTACGACAGCGATCACTGGTTAAACATTTTATTTTTTAAATTTAATTCTTTTTTACTGTTATAACAAAAAAAACGTGCACTTATTTATATTTACTACAGTAGCATAATTATTTCAATAACATATCATAATTGTTATCATCGAATTAGTGAAATTAAAAACGAATAATGAAATCAATACGAGAGAGCGAAATCTCTAAAGGCGTTGAATAATTGATAGTGCCTTTAACAGAAACAATTTTGGCAACTATTTAAAATTAGTCACTGAATTTATATTTGAAATTAAATATTAGAAAAAAATAAGAAATATTTGAAAATTGTACTATTTTATTGGATGAATTTTCAGGCATTTAAAGTTTTATATCAGATTGTTAAATTACAATCAGTCAAGAAGTAATGTAAATAATATTAAAGTTTGTTGTCAATTGCCGTTAACTGCCAAAATTTTTTATTTATAAAAAGATATCATCATGTTGGTATAAAAATTTATAATAGAAAAGTAAAGCCATGCAAAATATTATGAACAGTTGATACAAAAAGCAGCATTTTTTCAAATTTTTCTTATTCAGCTAATAATATATAATTATGAACTTTTCTTTTTTTATACATGGCTCAGCTTATGCGCACAACATGATTAGATTATTATCTATTATTATTTTTTTGACGCACCATTAGAACCATTCTTATATGTGTAAACAATGATAATTGCTATAACTGTTACTCTATTATAAATTAGAATTATTGCATTAGATTTATTAAATGATCACTATCTTTTCTGCAAGTTGTGTCACCATTACTATCATTTTTCAGCGATAATTAGCTTCATCAAAAAACACTCTTCATACATATACCAAACATACTGTTCCTTTTATATTTTGGATGAAATGTATATTTTAATAAACTGTCCAAAGCTATAGAACTTTTTGAATATAATTACTGTCGTTTCATTAATCATTACTTTATAGATCCCTTAATTCATTCAATGTTTGAAAATTAATCAATTTGCAACTTAGTTATCTCTACTTTTTAAAAATGTTTCCCATTTCTTAGCAAGCAATTCTGAAGTATCAAATAATATCGATTCCACAGATGGTTGAATAATTACTTTTTGTTATAAAAAAATATTTTAATGGTTCATTGCAAAATACATTTATAATATTTATATTTTGAAAGATCAAATTTAAAAAAAACCGGGGTTCAAAAATCCGGAAACTCCCAGCTGCGCGCCCTTGCGTTTCTTTTTTGAACTATCAACTACGAACGCTTCGATTGGTGTTATTTGGTGTTCGGTGGTTTATGTGGCAACAAATTCATTTAAATTTCTTTTTCCTTGCAAAAATTCACTGAAAAAATTCAAATGGACATCAAGAATCATTAAAGCTATAAATTACCATGAAATAACAGTATATTGAATGATTATATATTTGCAATTAATGACAAAACTCTTTGAGGTTAGAGAAACATGTTTAACCTGATTTTTCTTTTAAAATACCTGTTGAGCATTAACAATCAACCAATATGTTATTTTGTATGTTGACATTTAGATTGAATGGGAAATAGTAATACTAAGATAAATTCGTATTCTCGACGAAAATATAATAGTCAAGTAAGTGAAGATACTTTAGAAAATTTTGTCTACAGACGATTTCATTCTTATTCTTATTTTACAGTGTAGTCTAAGTAGTATTATCAATGGGAGTTGTACTGGAACTTCTGAATCAATATATCAAGAATATAGGCCATGGTCACGTGTTTCAAGAAGAACGTAAGTATAGGAATTCATTAACAAGTTTATTTATCATTCAAGTTAAAATTAATATGGTAAACATAGACTATAATTTTATGTTAGGTGGGCTGAAGGTACTTTAAATGATCCTTTAAATTCAACAAAAACTGCTTGGCCAGTGCCAAGATTTGAGGCAATTTTTCTACCAGAATTTAAAGTAAGAGAAAGTCCAATCGATAATGACTTTACATTCTTGGAGTTCATCGCTAAAGGAGCATATGGAAGAGTATACAAAGTCGAGGAAAAAAAAACGAAAAAAAAAGTATGCATTGAAAGTAATCAGTAAATCAAGAATTGTTGAAGAAGATTCTATTGTGCAAGCCAAACAAGAGGTAATTATTAACCTGTTATTAATGTAATACCTTGTTATTAATATAATTTCTAAGATAATTACTTAGTTATTAAATGAGAATTTACAAAAAAAAATTATGATTCTACATTACTTAGCTTGTATTCCATGCTCATATTTGTTACTATTTGATATGAAGTCTTGAGAAATTTACAGCTGTTGTCATGCCTATTAAAAAAATATATAATATTCTATAGGTTGCTATTCAAAGAGCGGTAAGTCATCATCCATTTATTGTTGGCTCTACTAATTATTGGCAGGGCAGAAAAACTTTATATATACGTACGTATTATTGTATAAAATATAATGTCATACAAAATAATTATGGTTAACACGTGATATCATATTTTTACAGTTACTGAATATATTCCTGGCGGCGAACTCTACTACCTTGTTAAAGAATATGAAAAACTACCTGAAGAAGTTGTTAGAATTTATGTTGCTGAGTTAGCTTTAGCTATAGGTACATTTTAGTAGTTAACACTATAATAATTTTCAATGTAACATTTAAAACATTTATCTTATAGTATTATTATTCATACATATTGGTACTATAATTATTCATTTTATTATTATATATTAATATAAGTACTTTTTTGTGTGTTTTTGCAGATTTTTTACACAATGCTGGCATTGTGCATAGAGACGTGAAAGCTTCGAATATTTTACTTGATAACGAAGGCCATGCGTTGCTGATTGACTTCGGATTAGCTAAATGGCTTCGTCCTCTACATAAAACTGCCACATTTTGTGGTTCATATGAATATATGGGTACAAAAACTGTTTCATTATAATTAGTTTTAATTATTGAGTAATTTTAAGACAATTTATTTCTCTTACAGTAGAGTTGAAACAATTTATTCCTCAGAGTTTTCTTAGAATAATTAAATCAGTTAAATATTGTTAAGAAAAAAAACTACTATAATTTTATTTAACTGTGTCAACATAATAACTAGACATCATTGAAAATTTAATGAAGATCAAAATTTAATATTTCTAACGTACTGATAAAATAATTATTTTTAGCTCCTGAAATTTTACGTAAAGAGCAGTATGGACGTGAAGTTGACTGGTGGGCTTTAGGAGTACTTATGTGTTTTCTTTTAATTAACGAGGTAAGTTTTTAGTTGCAATATATTATTGTGATAGCTTTCTATCACTGTATAGTACTTGAGTAAATAATATTAGTGAAAAAGAACAGGGGTAGTCGAACAAGCTTGATTACTAAACTTATGTCTAGAAGACTCCGTGGCGCAACGGTAGCGCGTCTGACTCCAGATCAGAAGGTTGCGTGTTCAAATCACGTCGGGGTCAAACTAAATTTTTTTGATTAATTTCATAAATAATTATCGAAAATTATTACAGATGATCAAAAAGCAATTTAAGTGTTATTAGATTCTTATAAAAACTTTTACTTGGCAAATAGTGGTTTCATAAATATACATTCCATTAGTTTCTCATTACAATATTTATTGCATTAAAAATTGCAATACTTGAGAAATTTTGGCAATATAAATAATTATGATATAATTATTAAAGTACAAAAAAATGAAAGTATCAGAAAACATATCTTTAATTTGATTCAAACCATCAACCTTTTAGTCAACAAACGAATACACTGTTTATTTCGCCATTAAGACCCTCAGTAAATGTTTTTAACGACAATAACAGACTTAGCGTGCTTCCAACTAAATGAACCTTTTAATATTATTGCAAAATATTTCTTCTGACATTTAATTCCCGCTCCTTTGGCTTCATGAAACTTGTTAACCAGTCGTTTGTCTGATTAATGAAAGCGATTGCACGTGTCTCATGAATTAAGTTTAACACAAATATAATTCAAAAACGATTGAGAAATAATTGATTTTTTTTTTTCATTGATATTATTTTTTAATCATTTTTTTCTAACTCATGCCTATATACTTGATTTACTTTTTCATAATTAATATTATTTTAATTAATTTATTTATTCATTTATCGACCTAGCTAATAACTATTATCTAACTTATACAGATAATTTTTAGTTAATAGTTAAATATATATTAAGTTGTAAATTGCATGCATTAAGTTGCAAAATTTTTCAAGCAATTCTCATGTGTCTGACTGTGTCTATAAAGAGATTGTTTATTATAACATGACGGGAAGTATTTGATTATTGGCTTCCACAAGTGTCAGGCTACAATTCTATTCACTCGTGTTTGATTCATTCGTTTATCGCCTATGTTATTGTCACTTTATTATATTATATTGAGCTTTTCCGTTAACAATTAACGCTAGAATTTGATGTGTTAATAAATATTTTATGTTATACCTAACAATAAATAAAAATTGATATTTTATTTTTAGAGAGCATTAATAATTATTTTAATAAAATACAAAATTAATGAAAAACATAAAATGTTTTTACTTATTCTTAATAGAAACTTTTTAATCAGATTGCTTTGGTAATATTATCTTGTAAAAAAATGAATTTTTAATACAAATAAAATTGAAACGTTAGACAGGAACAGTAAAAGGGTAAAAAATAGAATGAAAAATCTTGTAAAATTTTTTAATAATAATATATGTAATTATTATTATTACAATAACGATGTTGATAAGAATAATACAAACCGATGATTGATAATAATAATAATAAAATAATAATGTTTAATATTATAGACATAACTAGTAATAATTATAATAATAATAAAAATATTATCAATAATAATGACACGTAAGCTAAAAAATGTAAGAAAATAAAATAAAAACTACGCATGTGCATTGAAGAAACAGAAAAACATAAAAAATAATATGGACTGGTAGGATTATGGAAGGACATTAGGGTGTTGCTGGAGAGTATTTATCGTATGGAGAGAATATTTATTGGCGAGTAAAAAAGATTGTGATTGAAAGATTGATGAAATAGTATCATCACAATAAACAATAAAAATTGTTCATAGCGACGAAACACGATGAAATCACGGCCTCCCGAGTGGTTCGAGCTCGAAATTGAGATTAAAATAATAAAAATAGGAATGTTATATCATGTTTCTTCGAGGTCGCAGCGCGCCAGGGAACGTGATGACCCTTAGTATTATACTCATTTGGTCTTTCTTCTCACCATCTCTCTCTCTCTCTCTCTCTGTAGTTCTAACTGCGGATTTTCTGTAGAATATTTCGAGTAATTTTTTATTAAAATTTTTTCATCATTCAGTCGTCGTTGCATTCATTCAGCATCACGCAAACACTCTACTCGGCCATTCTACTTCACTTTCGCTGATGTATGAAGACATGGATAAGAGATGGGTCGATGAATGGGGACCAGAAGACGTCTGATCTTGTCGTACTTGAGAATTGTACTATTTATTCTTCTTTTTCTTTCTTTCCATCAAGTTCCTGAGGTTTTGGCAATTCTTCGGGCTTGGGCTCAGCTTTCTTGGCTTCTACAGATTTACCTTCTGCAACTTTTTCTTCTTTTTCAGCGGATTTATTTTCTTCAGATGATTTTTCTTCAGAGCTCGATTCTTCAGTCTTTGCAGCTTCAACAGATTCTTTGCTTTCTGATGATTCAGATTTAGCTCGTATCGATTCAGCTACTGGTTCGGGTTTAACTTCAGGTGATTGAGCGACAGGTTCAGCTTTTGGTTTTTCTTCTGCAATAGGAGCACTTTTGGCTTGAGCAATTGATTCATCAGCAACTGTTTGTTCTTTGTTTTCTTCAGCTTTCAAAGCTGGCACAGCCTCTGAAGCATGAACACTTGGTTCGGCTTTGATTTCTTGTGGTTTTTCTTCTTCTTTAGCTACTTCTGAAGCCTCAACTTTTTTTTCTGGTTCTTCTGCTTGCTTTTCAATTTTAGCTTCGTCTTGTTTTTGAGGTTCGGCAGAACTAGCGGCTACTTCAGGAACTGGAACAGAAGTAGCTGGAGCTGCTGATGATGCATCTTCAGTTCCACGAGTTACTCGATCAGTTTTATCTTCAGGTTTTGCTTCTTTTTCTTCTTTCTTTTCTTCTGCTTGTACTGCTGCAGCAACCTCTTGTTTCTCTTCTTTGGCAGGCTCAGGTGCAGCACTATCAGCTGAAGCTAGTTGAGCTGATTCAGCTACTGGTGTTGATTTGGCAATTGGTTCAGGTTCCGCTGCTTTTGGGCTTACCTCGGCTGGTTTCTCTTCAACTTTTTCTTCAACACTTTCTTGAGGTATTACACTCTTTACGGCTGGTACAGCTTCTTCGGGCTAAAAAATTATCAAAATAATTAGCTGCATAATCATTTAAATATTTTATAGTTATTTAATAAAAGTAAATATAATTTTTAGAAACTATATTAAATAGTTTTAATAGTCAAAATAGTTAAAGTATGAATTTAATTTAATATAATTAAATGAATACCTTAGCTTCAGTTGGAGCTGGAGCTGGAGCGACGTTTTCTTCAATTTTGACAGATTCAGCTGGCTCTGTAACCAATCTCTTTAGTTGTTCTTGATCTTTTGTCTCAGCAAGTTCAGCTTTTTCTTCTGCAAGCTTCTCTGGTGCTTTTTCTTCAGCCTTTACAGCTTCTTCTTGTTTTTCTGCTTTGTCATCAAGTCTCGCATGAGCTAGATGAGCTTCGGGTGATTCACCTTCTTTGTGGTCTGGATGAACGGGAGTTTCTGATTCTGCGGCTTGTCTTCTCAAAATATGTTGGACTGGAGCACCTTTTTCCAATGGCACCACTGGGAGTGGATCAGAACCAGGTTCAGCTACTGGCATAACCATAACAGTTTTGACTGCCAAAGCGCAGATTACAGCTGCTAAGAGGAGCTTCATGATTTCTTATGCTGAAAAATTTTTTAATAAAAACAAGTATTAATAATCAATTATCGATTGATTGTTGAAATTAAAGATAAATTATTTTTACAAATGTATGACACCATATAATGATACAAGGGAGATAAATTATTATAATGCTAATGATAGCGAAAAAATGTGATTATGTGAAGGCAATGTATTGAAGGTGGATGACATTGAACTGAATACTCCAAATATATAACGAGTTTAACTAAGGACAAGTCTGTTGTCATAATATTCACATTGATCTATGTACAAATTTTGAAACATTAGTATAACTTGGGTATTATTGAAAATATTAAATTAAATTAAAAAATTATTTCATTAATCATAATTTTATATTTCATTATCAATAAAAAAAATTAATATAACTACAGTTTGAATTTTTTCAATTAATTATTATGACAAATAGAAACAATTTTTTTTTATAAAACAAGCAATTTGTTAATTAATTAAACAAAGATTGAAAATAATATCAGGTATTTCAGATAAACGTAAGAAACTTTTAAATAGGAGAAATTTCGTGGATAAATTACGCAGTGAAGAGAATGATAAGCAAGTCATACAGGTCAGAACGTTGAGAGGAAATGCTTTTGAAAGATGATGAGAGGGTTCCCTCTATTACTTCATCAAGTACATCAGAGAAGTAATAAAAGCGAACAAGAGCTGTAAAAAGAAGAATAGTGTACGTGTCTCTTGTATATCGTCCTCAGTCATTTCAACTGAGTAATCTTCATATTTAAAACATTTTTCTATCACTCAACGTTTTCGTGAGCCTCGTGACCTCGCGGCGAGATGAGATTAGCGGATTAGAGGCGCTAATTGGGTTTCTCTCAAAAGAAACAGAGAATGAAAAAAGCAGTTGCATTATGTCAGAAATAGCAGGTCAACTTGTTGCTAAATTTACGATGATTCTTATGAAATCTCTCTTAAAAAGACCGAGTAACTCACTTTAATTTAATAATTGCCACATTTTCTATTTATTTACTCCATTTCTCTTAAACAATTTATCTAAATAAAAATCTCTCTAATATTATCAATATCTTTTTTTTCAATTTGTAAATGAATGCAATTTAATTGAATTTCAATTTAATACTCACTTAAAATCCTTGAAGAAAAAGTAGTGTTTGATTATTGAAGTCTCTGCAGGCTTCTTCTGGCTCTCTGTCACGAATGAAAACTCGTAGAAAAATCGCGAAACCAACTTGACAAAAAAATAGTCGATGAGTTGCGCGTGCACAAAAGCTTTCTGAGGGACCGTAGCAGGCGATCGTGAGGAAGATTGGGTCGTGTGTCGAGAGAGAATCGTCGAACCTCGGTTTATATACCTCAGCCTGTAGCTACCCAGCAACTCTTCGGGTCGTACCGAGGGACCCCGAAGCCTCCTTCTCCTCAGCCCCTTCCTCCTTGATCCAAAGGGGACTAGCGGAGGGGTCTGTCTTTTTCTTTTCACTCCTCTTTTGCCCCAACGTCTTTCTTCTCACCTATATTCCATCTTATTTCTTTCACTGTTTCCTTCTTTACAGGAATCTCGAAGGATTTAATATTATTTTTTTTGACAGAAAAAATTATTTTGTTCAAGGTACACAGGACATTGGTTCCAATATCATCCTTACAAAATTCAAATGAGAGACCCTTTTTAATAGCTTCTACTCCTTTCTGATATTCATCTTTTTGTGCTTGTCTGTATAACATTATCAACATTTCAGGGATTAAGTAATATATGTCTTTTACAGACTTTTATTTCAAGCTTTAAAAACCAGTTGACAAGTTATAAACAACTGGAAATTCTTTGTTAAAACCCTCAGGTGTGATGGAAAATTACTTTAGCCCCTTTTGGATATTATGGATGATGGAAAAGTACCAGGACTCTTTTCATTCCTTTGAACCTATAGAAGTTCTCGAAAATTCTCAGTTATTTTTATCCCTTAGATTTTCAAAGCTTAGATCCAGTCACAACAATGATCAGTCAGTAAATACGTCATATTTTTTTCGATATTATTTTTAAAAATATTTCTCTGCAATTTTTTAGTGTACAGAAAGTTATTTAAATTCCTTTTGTTTTGCATTTTGATTGCTGTAGAATGTGTCAAAGTCCGTTTATATACATTAAATATCAAAACTTGTAACTGTAAATTAATTTAAAACAAAAAAAAACCAACTTTATTAATTGATTGATTTAAACCAGATTTTTTGAATTTAACTTTGTACTAACGGTTTAAGATGGCTTTACATGACTAGTTTTGTCGAATAAATCAACGGCGCTCCAATGATTCGTGCTAGCATATATACCATAAAATTATGTACGTTAATCTGTTATAGAGAGAGAGAGAGAGAGAGAGAGAGAAAAAAAAATCCAATAGTCCTTTATATTTTTTTCTGACTTTTTAATCTACTTATTTCGACCTACTTCCAAGATCCACATGTTTACAAGCAAATGAAAATAATCTTGAGTTATCAGTAATTTAAATCATGTGGGTGTTGGACTTCCTCAAATAAATTTTTGAATAAGTTGGTTTTAAAAAAAAACATGCATGATTCATCCATAAAATAAAATAGTCTCTTCCTATGTAGACAAATGACTGACAAATCGTCGCAAATTTCATTTTAGGTATAAATGATATTAAATTGCTGAGGATCTTCTTACAGGATTACGTTTAAATATATGTATATGTTTGCAATCATTAAATACTTAAAGATTATATTATTTTTGAATTTTTGATTGAAATGAATGATTATTAAATAATCAAATGTGTTCTAGTAGTTTCCTTACTATTAGCTTGTTTTTTTTTCCTCAGAGTCTATTTATTTCTCTAGGCGTTGAGTTTGTGTATAATAACCAGTGATTGCCAACCGTTACGTCCCGTTAGGGAGATTGCAATGCGAAAGGAAGAAGGAGGAGGCTTAATACCTTGAAAAGGATCACTCGTTCCACCTTATGATAAAGGAAAGAAAGATCATGCAAAAAATACTATTGATAAAAAATTTGATATTTCAGTGCTTAATTTAAATTGTTGTTCAACTTTGAAATAATAATTGTGTTCATAGTTTTTACATTAAAGTCGTTTAAAATAATAGAAAAATTTTTACGAGTTAGATAATAATTATTTCAATTCAGATGAAATTAATTTCGATAATAATGGAAGCATCAACATGAATTAAATAACTTCTCCGCATCATTTTTATTTTTGAGTTCTATTTTTAGATTCAATTGAAATATTTTTTACGCAGTTATTTATTTTAGACAAGGGAGATTTTATTTGACTTTGAGTTTTCTGAAAAACTATTGTTAAAAAATGATCTTGTAGACCTATTGTCAAATTTTTTTTCACATATATTGAAGGTTTTTTATTTAAAAATATTTTTAAGACGTATACATTTATTTATATAATATTTTCTATGAAGTTAACAAAAATTCTAAAAGTTGTTTTTCTTTAAATATTTGTACACCCTTGAACATATTTTTATCATTTTAAAAAAACAAAAAGTAATTCAAGAAGTTTGTTTTCAAATGAATAGATTATTTCATTTGGAGTTGAATCAAATATTTTATATAAATTTTTACAATATAATTATTTATTTACATAAAATTGTTAATTAAAGGAAATGTGTAATTAGAATCCAATGTAGTCGAACAAGTTCATTGTGCTCCGAAATGATGATCCCCAAGTATTAGTTGAATGCAATTATTCATTTATAATTGAAGCTTATTTTTCACATTGTTTAATCCAATTGTACAAACGTATTTGAATTTCTTAACGTTGACATACGATATTATTATTATGATAAAAATAATCAAAGATATCAAATGAAATAATTTTAAATGTAATAGAAGTTGAAGAGCTAGAATTTCTTGTGTAAAATCTCATGCGTCTTCATTGATTAATTCCCACAATTACTCGAGAATATTCCTCCTCATGTGAATCAGGCAATTTTGATGTTCAATATAAAAAAGATTATCTATTGCACACAAAAGGAAAATAATAATTTACAAAGTTACATACTTAATACTCCTTCAATTTCTATTGTTGACATATTTTCCATATTTTATTTTTTTAATTTCCCATTTTCTCTCTAATAATCAACATTGTATAAAATTGTCGTTTATAAATAACCCTCGATAAATTTTTTCGAAAATTGATTTTTTAAAATTATTATTATAGTCTTGATGTCTTTTACAACCGAATGACCAAGGTCATGTTGGCTTGTATGTTCACTTAACAGCTGAGATTTTTTATTATATTATTTAACTTGTGTGCGTACATTGAACGTGTTTTTTTCTATATATTCTATCTATACATATTCTATTGTAAAAAATATCTAAATATGCGTCATATTTGTTATTGTTCTATCATATCTTCATGAGAAATGGCATTTAATTAATGTTAATGAATTTTTTACATTTGAAATTATGATAGTTGCTTTTGTTTTCACATGCTTATAATACCTAAAGCGAATAAAATTTTTACTTCTTATTTGCTGATTAGTACATCATATTTACCATTGATAAAATTATTCTAATGTTTAAAATTATTTTAATATTTAAAAAATATATTCACCATAATTTTAGTTTTCGTTTAATAATTTTCAATGAATTAATAGTAATAGATTTAAAATTGTTTTTGTGTTATTTTTTATGGTAGAATGTGGTTAAACAAGTAAACATAGTTGACATGTAAATCATAGAACATCTGGATGTTATCTAGGTTTACTATTACCTTTTGTGGTTGTCAATTTTTTTCCTGCTATTGTTGAACTATATTTCTATGTTCTTGGAAATATTGCATTTTAAACGTGTAACAATTGCATCACCTCTCGAAGCATCAGAAGAGATGATTATTATAACTTTTATAATAGTGTCGAGAAATGAAAAAGAACTTTAGGTATAGAGTTGGTTGTCCTTGAGTTCCCAGGATCTAATTTTATCCTAAACTCAATCCGGTTTTCCCTGCAGCATGGAACCCTTGTGGGTATCATCACATATAACATGACATATTTTTCTTGTTAGTTGTTTATTCCAAGATTAAAAATCACATGGTGGTCTGTATGTTCAGTAGAAAAAACACAGACTAAGCTTAAAAACTGAATGAGATAAAGGGCACTCAAGGTCTATAATTTTTTATAGTGATGATAATTTATCTATCATAGTGAACACGCATTCTATAAGTTTAAATCATGAAAAGCTATTAAATAATTGAAATGCGTTGTACTTTTCTCCTACCGAAATTTATCCAAACGCATCAGAAATGCGTTTTAGTAGTGAATAATGAATAATATACGTAAAGATGAAGAAAATTATATTACGCCTATGAAGAGGATGAGAAAAGGACCTTGGGCTCCTTGCAGCATAATGACAACGTTATGCGTTTGTGCTATAATGCCATAATGCTGTTGGCACGAAGTACATTGCAAGAGTAACGTGGCAAAATCTTCATTAGACTGAAAATGGCAAGGAAGAGAACTTGGATGATAGACCGCATTTTTCCTATAGTGGATATAAAATTATTGTTAAATAACATCCTTTAATTCACTAATCACTCCAATCTAAAACCAAGACCTTCATTATTAGGTGTAATGATACCCAATGCTATTGACTTTCATTGATTATTGGCATTAATTGGGCTATCAATTAAATAACACTTAGGAAAAAATTGAATACAAGTAAAAAAAATCGCATTTTATGACTTAATAATTATTATGAGTCATGATAATGAATATTTTAAACTCATGATTACTTTAGAAAGAGTTTAAGATTAACTTTCTATAAATAAGTAATTATCAGCATCATAATTTGCTTGAATATATTACACTTCTATCAGAATTCGATAAACAAGTTTATATTGAAAACGTTGCAAGTATTGAAAAAACGATTAGAAATCAGATTCTCTTAGTGGTTTAAATATATTTTGAGATGTTACAGAATAGTTGATTAAATAAATTTTCTCGATAATACGTAAGATAATAAATACTCATAAAGAGATATAAATATATTCTCCAAGAAAAACACATTGTGACAACTAATTGAATTTACATCAAATCATTCAAGTTTTTCAATGAAACATTGATAAAATATCAATTGAGTTGGATGAATCATCAGCTAAATATTTGAATCCTTGCCATTTTTAGATCCAGTCTGGAACACATCAAATCTGATTAGGTTCCAACTGATGTAGTTAATTTGTTTCTTTTATCCATACCTGTAGGTCTAAAAGTTGAACTAATTGAATAGAAAAAATCATGTCAGTTTTAAAAAATCTTACAATAAAAATATAATCATGGTTTATGGTGAACAAAGTGCTAAAATTAA